GAGTTACTGCGGGACGTTGTGACGAGGTAAAGTGTGCCTAATGCCTGTTTCTACCAATACAGATTAACTTTAATCTCGGTTTAACTTACTGTTATAGGCCTTCTACAATAAGCCATAAGTCATAAATCGGAAGTAAGAAACTAAAAATTAACGACTGTGATTGGTCCATTTCTAGCTTATGACTTATGATTTGTGACTTACGGCTTATTGTAGAAGGCCCATTAAGGCCATCACACGTACAAAAATTTTAGTAGGAATCTTAAGGCTTAAGCAAATCGGCCAATCACAATTTAGCGTATTAAAATGTGAGATCGTAATCTTGATTGTAATTGGTCGATTTGCTTAAGACCTTACGATTCCTACTAAAATTTTCGTACATACGTGTGATGGCCTTTAATCTTTTTTTAATTTTTAGAATTAGAAAAAGACGAAGAGCAAATTGAATCGAGATTAAAGAATCTACATTGGTGGAAATGGGCATAAGTCTGATTGGCCATTATTGTACGCATGCGCAAGTGACAAGTGTGTTGATATATGTGCATGCAACTCTAACCACTCTAACCTATTAACACCTATTAATATTTTAACTCTCGTGCTTAAAAAGGCTTAGAAAGACGTGTCCAAATTAATTGTAAGGTATAAACATATATAAGAGATTTAAACAACGATCCTATCGTCGCGCAGCGTGGCTTCGCGGCGAGACGATTATAATTGCTTGCTAATACGAACAGCAACGAGGTCTCGATTCTAGTCTCAGCACCGGTGAAGTCCTCCGACATTTTTTCTCGGCCCAGCTCTCACATAATATCTTGAAATTAAAATGGTCCAATGTTGTGTACCGAATTGTAGAAATAGATCCGACAAACAAAATTGGAAACGGACAAGCAGTGTGAACAAAAATCGTAAAATTACATTCCACAGGTATAAAAAAATTGTATTATAAAATATAATAGTAGTCAATTTTCAAAGAAATTATTTCAACTCAATATTGCTTGTTTCTTTTAGTATTCCAAAGGATAACACGATTTGCAACTTATGGATCGATATTTTGAATCTTTCAGCAAATATCTCAAAGAGTGCTCGTATTTGCTCAGATCATTTTTCTGAAAAATCTTTTGATACCAATGGGTTACTAACGCGACTAAAACCAAATGAATTACCATTGAAAGTACAAAATGTAGAAGCTTCTACATTTTGTACTTTCAGTGGCAATGCATTTGATCTTCCATTAATGGTAAAAAAAGAGAAAGAAGATTTTGTTGCATATAGTAAGTAAAACTAATTTCTATGTTCATATAATATACTATTTATGGTTTGGAAATGGCTATCGTTTATGGAAGTAATTGTAAGAATTATAATTTAATTATATATATAATATATATTGTTATTATTTTTAGCACAACCGTCAGCATCAGATGAACAATCATCGACTTCAGATAAACAAACAATGACATCAATACCACATACAGCAGAAAAAGCAACGATGGTATCATTGAAAAGAATTTATAATTCTCCAGAAAAATGTCGACTAAGAAATCTATTAAAATACCAAAAAAAAGAATACACGAAAAAAATACGAAACTTGCAACAGAGAATACGTCGATGCAATGACCAACTTTTGACATTAAAAAACATTTTGAATAATCTACGACAAAAACGCTTATAGAAACAGAGCAGAGTGAAATGCTACTTAGCCTAGGTGGGTAATGATAAATTCCATGCATGAAACGTGCATATACTAGAGAAAAAACTTGAATCTCATCTCATCTCATTCATGATTGACATTTCTTGATGTCATTTGGTACGAACGAATGATTTTATTTGACATATATAGAAAATTTGAAAAAATTTACAGATCTGAAATGACAAAGAGCAGCAATATACGTGGAAATTGCGAGTTTACAAAATTAGGAAATTCAAGTGTTTGGCGTCTCTGTTTCTTAATCTTAACAATAGGATTGAGAATCTCAACTACTTGACGATACTTGACATTCTTATCCTCTTGCCCAATACATTGTAGAGGACTGAGAATATTGGTGAGTTCGAATATAAAAATTTTTTTAACTTATAACTGTTTGTGTGGTAGAATCCTAAATTAATGCATAAAAGTTCATATAACTGAGTGTGTTCTATTTAATGCTTGTGAATATTATTTATTGTCATTAAATGTTAAATAAATTTAAAATGACACACTTTAAAGAGACATCACATTTGTACTGATAGTATTATTTATTATTTTATCATAGACAGTATATAGTCAAGCTTTTACTGATCCATCAATCTGTGATGATGATGACGCTTTAAGACTATTTCTGACAGACTGAGAAAAATGAAAACGGAAAGAAGAGCTTATTATGTAAATCATAAGAAGTGTACTATACATTGGAAGAAACTTCAAACTCAAGATCAAGGGACTAAAATGAATGTATAAAATTTATAATTTGTATGATCATATATCCACTTTGTACGCGAAAGGCTATAAAATTACTTATACATGTAATTTTCCTATATATGTAGTTATTATTTATTGTTATTGTAACAATTGATTAATATCCATGAAGATCATTGTTCAATTTGTGTTTTACTTATTACTGATTGACTGTGATTTTAACTTTTTTAATCTATTTTGCACGTTATATTATCAGTTTTTTCAAGTTGCTGTTTTGTCTGTGATAGGAAATTTTATTTGTTCTGCATTCGTGAAGTAATTTTTTATATCAATTTTTCTATAAGATATTAAAAAAATTTTTCCACATTTTACAATTAATTTTATTACATTCAACGTTTTAATCCTTTGAGACCATCCAATGTGTCAACTAGATATAGGAAAATACTTATTTGTATTTTTGGAGATTGACCACTGGATTTTATATGACGGATTATGTAATGAAATATAAGTCAAATTTTTTTGCGCTGAAGCTGGCTAGAATTTAACCAAAACAAATTTGACATAGAAATATAACTTTTAAGACGTTCATCTATTAATTATTTAAGGACAACACCTTATAGCACCAATTCTTAATTGCCCGTTTTACTTATTTATTTGATTATTTACAAAGTGTTTATTCATAATTATTTCAAACTAATAGGAACAGCACATTAAAAATAACATAATTTCATCAAATCTGATCTTTAATTGCAATATTCAATATTTTCCTATCAGTTTAGCTTGAAAAATTAGGATTTACAAATAATTTGGTATTAGTCATGCCCTTTAAACAATTTTATAATAGCTGGTTTTTCTACTAAACGCAATCGATTATTTCATTTTTTCACATTTCGCTTTTGACTGTCTTCATCAAACTTCAGCTAAATTTAGAATTTTTGACAGGTTATTATACATGGAGAGAAAAATTTGTAATCCGTCATTTCTTTTAATGTTGACAAAATACTATTATAATATTTAAGTTATGTAATTATTTAAAATTGCTTAATCAGGACATTCACGAAGATAATCATGTATCTGATATATCGCTTTTTTACTAGCGTAATTTTTGCGATGATAAATGCATCTATTGTATTGTATATGTGTCAACGTGTAGGTTATAGTTATTTTGAAATATATTATTTTATTTTACCACACACATATTAACACTCCAACATATACATGAGAATATTATCCTATACAACACAGAAGCAACATTGTTTCAACATTTGCATTAAATTGCTGAAATAATCTGTGCTGTATATAATTCACTATTATAGGACAGACATTAATAGTAAATTTAAATTATATACTCGTCTGTTAACTTCAGATCTTGTGTATATTGTAGTAAATATCAAATTTGAAAATATTAAATCAGATCTAAATGGATTAAAAAATTCTAGTCATTATATCTAAACACTGAAGGCAAATAACATGCATATTTCATATCGTAGTTTAATTATTATTTACTTAACGAATATTCAATTACATATGTATATAATATGTAACATTTCAGTTTTTCCGAGTGATGAGAGCGCATTATCAGATTATGGCTGAAGCTGAGAGATTTAACTCAATTGTAATATATATTTGAAACAAAAGCAAATAATATATTAAATTTTTTTTAATTTACGAAATGTATACAATTAACTAAAATCTTTATTGGAATGGAATTAAAATTATAAAAATTAGTAACAAATAATATATTGCTACTCACTAGATTTCTGAGTCACGTGCAAGTCTCAATTACATCAGCTCGAAGATATCTGAAGGAATGGATCAGGTATGTCTTAATAAAATCATCTTAACATTTAAAAAATAATACAATGTATTTTAATATTCATTAATGTTTAATAAAATTATTTGTATAGATGAAAGAAGATATTGCCAAAGAGTTATTCATCACCGATCATTTAACGAAACTTAGTTCGAGAGTAAGCCAGTTATTGCAACGTTATTCAGAATTGGAAGAAGGATTAATTGAGGTGTATATATATATATATAACTTGGAATAGTTCATTATCTCGCGATAAAATAATGCAAAACAAAATAAAGATTTAAATATCTTTTTAAAAAGAATATGAAAGATGATTTTTTTTATTAATTATTATATTTTAGCTCAACTTTAACATAAAACATGATGCTATTAAATACATTATATATTATTTTATGTTAGGATCCTTATGAAAAACGCATGTGTGCACACAAAACATTAATAAATTTGGATTCATTTTTTATTCACATGCAAAAATCATACATTAAAAAAAATTTCCCCTTTATTTAAGATGCAATTAAAAGCGTTGTTATCTTATATTATCTGTAATCAGCTAGTAAGAATGAATCATAATATGAAGAGCGTTCAGATTGAAACCCCAGTTGACATTAATGAGGAAGTCAAGTGCATTCTTACGGCGGTAAAAAAAAAACAAACGCAGCAGCAAGAACAGTCAGACCATCCCCGAACACCGACGAAATTGAGGACATCGATAAACACTTCTACAGGAGTGAAGGATTCTCAGCCGCATAATTTCATTACGAGTTCAAAGTTCCTTACATCACAATCATACGATACTGATATCTCAAATGTAATGTTTGAAAGGCAAGAAAGACGTACATCTGCATGTCCGGAAGTTCAATTATTGAACGACCCAAGACCAGCAATTAATGTAAAAACCATTGGCTTTCGACCATCCTGGAAATGCGAGATTTAAGACAACTATCAGAAAAATATGTTTCTGTATATTTTTTTGGTTTCTTTTTTTTTTATAATTGTTATTGTTTGTAAAAATATAGAAAAAATTGTGATTGTGGAATAAGATAAATAAATGCAACGTTCTGCGTTTGTCTGCAAGTATTTCTGTTTACCATAAAGATATTTGAACCTTTGTAAAAAAAAAAAAACTGCAATCGTACAAAAAAATTAATTTTTTCAGAAAATTCACATGCAAATATATGTAAATATGTGGAGAAATGAGATAAGACGATATAAAAAAGACTGCAAATGCTTCAAAAAATAAATATTTATCGTAATAGGCTATAAATATTACAATATCATATTACAAAATACAATTTATAAAATAAAAAGTTATATTTAGCATAAGAAAAAATGTTATTTCTTTATTTTTAAAATAAAATATCTCTAAGGAAATATTTTTTTTAAATTTTTATAGTCATATGTCATTTGCAACCTTTTTATATTATGAATGCAATTAGCCAACAATTTATTATTGTTCTTTTTATTTAGCTATACATTTTTGCAGAATGACAGCATACAAGTAGAGCGAGTAAACGTGATACATTTTATCCGATCACTGATCGGTCAAATTTAGTCAAAACGACAAAAATTTTAAGTCATTTCTAAATTACAAAGAGAGAAGAAATAATCTTTGCCGGGTCATGCTTTGGACAGAAAGCATATTTGAATATATTTGCCCAATAAAAAGTCCTTTAAACAAGTTCTATTAAAGAGAAGTGACACACCACAATTTTTACATATTCACTATTATTTTTCTTAAGATTTAATCGCATTGAGTATTTATTTTTGTACCATATGTTTCTGAAATTTAAACAATGAGCTGAGTTAATATATACAACTAATTATACATCAACAATATATACATGCTATTTATATTTAGATATGAATTAGCCATTTTTATGCTGCAGAATATTTTGAAAAATTATTGAAAATAAAATGGGAGTAAAAGCTTCTTTTTCAAATAAAATGTAATTATTTTATTTAAATATTTTACTTAGGAAATAAACTATTTTTTTCTCATATACTCTAAACATCTTTATGCAAAAAATATTTGTAAATTTAATTAAATAAAAATAATTTCCTTGTATTCCTCTCAATTTTGCTTAATTTGTATGAGGATGAACTAACAAACATTCAACTTCAGCTACAAATTCTATTTTTATTATACATAATTTTTTATAAGGCTTTTACTATAGTTACAAGTGTATCTAATTTCAAATACTTCAAGAATATATATCATAATTAGATATATTTCTAAAAAATTTTGAAAAATCTGCTTTAAATTTAATTGAGATAAAAAGATCTAATTTAAATTTAATTGAAACTTAATTGAAATACGCGAAAATCAATTTTTATCAAAGTTTAATTTATAGCTTAATACTTATAATTTTTTAATAACTAAATTCTTACATGAAATAATTTTATCAATAACTTGAAAATAAAATAACTTTCTTAGTTCATCCTCTATAATTTGGAATTGAAAGTAGGCAATTAATAATTTGGTACAAGAGAGAAAGAAAGGATTATTTGAGGAAAAAAAAAAAGATTATGCTCAGCTATTTTATCAGCAAAAATATGTCTACAGCAATTTTGCTTGAAAAATAATCTCACGATTTTGTGTGTGTGCGTGTGTATGCGCGCGCGTGCGCGCGCACGTGTGTGTATGATGTAATCAGTTCGATTTTAAATTTGCAGTTATTAAAGGACAGCAATAGTAAAGAGATGATTTTAATTTCCTTAATGCCAAACATCTTCCAAAGTTTTGCATAGATTACACGATTTTTTTTTTTAATAGAGCAAGTGTGTACAATTCGCATTCTGCGATATTTCTCAATGCGTTTCTTTTTGCCCCCTCCCTCCTCCTCTCTTCTTTGTCTTTTCTTAATTCTTCATCTCTCTACCCCTCTTCTCCCGTCTCTTCTCTTCTGTTCTTTTTGCGCCAGTTAACGTCGTTGCCTATCTGCCAGATAATTATTGAGCCTTTTGACAAATCCGCCCCAACTAGCTCGATCGATCTCATCGAAGTTCCGCTTAAAGAAGCTATCGAATGCAGTATCGGTTTCGTCAATGTTCCTCTTTGAGAAATGATCGAATACCGATCGGTCGATCTCGTCGAAATTACCAGGCCGTACGTTCATCACGCTGGGTCGCCTGCAATAATAGACATACTGTAACGAATATAAACTATAAGGGTATTTCTTTTAATCTCGAACATATTTTATTTGAAAACAGAATGTTATATAAATTGATAAACGACATTCATTTTAAAAACGCAATAAATTTCAGAGAGATACAGATTCGATCGATACAACAAGATGTAATTTAAATAAAATTTTATATCCGTTCCTTTTTAGTTTATTTTTCAGCTAAAAAAATATTACCTTTAATTTTTCAGTTTTTACGAGATGCTTATAAAATCGATTTTTTTTTATCTATAAATGTGCTCGTGTATGTTAAACTAATAAATAATACTACAAAAAATATATAATATAGTTCTTTTTTCTGATAAAAATTGTTAGCAAGGAGTTATCGATGAAACTAGTCAGACATGATGTAGGAAGTACGAATGCTTATAAGTCAGACTAGCAAAAAGTGAGATTCAATAGACATTCTTTTCTCTTTTTAAATGAACTCAGATAAACATAACTGATGAATATCCATTGTGATACCAGACATTCGACATTTATAAAAACAATGTTGAAATTAAAAGGGACGATAGACTGCGATGCCCACATCACATTATAGCGGTTGAAGATTATGTTAGTGTCTGCGTTTACATCTTGACAAATCAAAAAGAAATTATTGACAAGCAGCTTCTTTTTGATTTGTCAAGAGACGTAAACGTGATCGCAGACGCAATCTCCAATTGCTAGTGTAATATGGGCATTAGAGAAAATATATTTTTCAAATCACCGCGTGTAAATTTAAAATACCGGAGAAATTTCTATTCTCTCCTTTCTTTTTCGTATTTTTTCAATTCTATTTTACAAAATCTATTGCTTTTTTAAAAATGTCATTTAAAAATAGTTTTACTATACAAGTAATCGTAGTTGGGTATGGCTTCGAAAAACACAGACGTAGACAACAATAATATTATTATTCAACAATAAAAATACACAAAAACGAAGATAAATCGTTTATGTAGTTTTTTGAACGCTACGATTTTCTTTTACCAAATTTTCTATTTGTTAGTTTACTTTAACACAACTACAATATATGACGCGTTAGAAAAATTTCATTGCAATTAAAATTGTTAGTTTTTATAGTTAAAACATATTTACGAGTATAATATAAAATGCGCTATAAAAGATGCTTATATATGTATGATACATGTCAAGACCATTGCAGATCATTCCTAATTTTCAAATATTTATTATCAGTTTTTAAGATAAAAATGAAGATTAGGGTTATAATACAATAAACAATATAGGATTATAATACAAATTTACATCTGTTTAATGTAGTCGCTAATTCATATATTGTAGTGCTTAATGGAAAGAGTATCTCGATCAAAAATTTATTTAATAGAGTACGAGATTTCTTGATTATTAGGTGAACTTGTATTTTATCGGAGATCAAAGATCGAGTATCGATAATAACTTACCTGTAAGGTATAAACCTCTTGCTCTCACCAAAGGTCGCTCCAGATAACGAATCCAACCCTCGACGTCCCTGACGCAACAGATGGCCTTCACCAATACCACGAACATCTATATTGCGGTTGCCCAAGCCTTGAAAATTTCAGAAAGCTGCACTAATATCTCCGTTAATTGTAATTAGAAAAGGGGGAGGGGAATGTAGAAAATTCGAAAAAATTGAAAAATAGATGGTTTGGAAACAACTAGAGATAATAATTTGTCTAATAACCGGATACCGGATCTTATCCCGTAAAATACAAAACAAAGAATAAAGGTACAAAAAATTATTTTAATTTAATTTTTAAATTATATTTTATATTATATATCTTAATTTATGATATTATATTTAGACATTGTTTAAAAAATATGTAGTTTATAGATTAGATATATATGTAATAAAAATGTATTAAAAGAAATTAAAATTTTTAATATGTATAATTATTTTTATCCAAACTGTGAAAAACAACTTTTTCACAATTCAGTCCAAAAGTTGAACTATCTGGCCAGGTGGTCGGATTGTAAAGAACCAGCCGGATAAGTCGGACACCAAATAATTGCCAAATATCTGTTGCATCTCTAGAAGGAACAGATATACTATAAATAAAATCTATCTTTCAGTTTAATAAAATAGAAAATACAATAACAAGTATAGTAACAATATAAATAATGTTCAAATTGTCGTTTTCCTTTAAGTTGATTAAATATTTGATGACTGTTACAGTAATTTGATACGTTGTATATGTAGGGGTACCGCGAGAGAATTTTCAGAATTGAGAAATATGTGGAAAACGATACTAACGGAATACATTTTTATATTTTATAATATGTGTGACATGTTAAAAAGAATTTTGAGATAAATATGTATGAATTAAGAAAATTAAATTGTGAGATAAATTCTTCTTGTTTTAATAATGTTAATCTACATGTTGTTAGTAGATTTTATTATAAAACGTACATATATAAAAAAACATGAAATATGGGATAAATTTTAAAAATAAAATTAATTGATTAAAATAAAAAAATAAAGTTGTATGTTAATTTGCAATATATGTGTGTACATAGAATATTGTACGTGACGTGGACGAAAAATTCGTGCATTGATTTTTTTCTATATACTGACACATCAACACAATTGATTTTCATATTGCTATAGTAGTGTGTAGTAAGAAGTGTAACGAATACGTTCAGTACAATTTTGGTGACTATTAATTGTGCCTGCAGTTTTTGGGATCAATAATTGTGAAAATGATTCCCGTTTACACCGTTGGTACAGAGTGTGACGTTTTGACAAAATAAAGTACGTATTATATTATATAAAATTATTTACAATGAATTCTGATAGAAATTCATTCCGATTTGTTCTATATATACTTTAAGAATCAAATATCTTGTAAAACTAGAAAAGAATGGGACAGAAATTTATGAAATGTAAACAATATTAAGAACTATCCTACACCTCCCCTTCTTCCATGATGATTTTCCAGGCGAAACAAGGTCCACTCCATCTCCCTCCTGCCCACGCGCATCATTCCTCATGAAGTGAAATCCATCCCACCTTCTCCTCCTGCTTAAGGGTGCACAATTTTCCACGCAAAAAATGAGATCCACCCATACCAAAATATGGTTTGGATTTTCATTATTCTTTTTGGATCTTGCTTCGTGCGAAAATCATGCATCCCTAGAAGGAGGGCGGCAGTCCTTTTCCAAAAAAAAAACTAATTCAATCTATATTTTAGTGTCAAGTGTCCTTTGCTTTGCGTCGTAAAATACGCAAAGGAAGGACGAAATAAACTGCCTCCATGCATAGACTTTACAACGTGATGCGAGAGGGAGAGAGTGTGAGGTAATCCTTGATATTATAGATACATAAAACAGAAGTAAGAAAGTCGTTTCTTAAACTTTTTTTATTGATAACATTTCAACGGATGAAATTTATCGGAGGTTATTCAGGATCATGACCTTGATAATATGTGTCCAGGTCAAGATCATCGAAGCGAAGTCTCCTGTTCAGTACATTTTCCTTTTTGATATTTCTAACACTTGAAAACTCAAAGTTTTTCTTATAAAATTGGTTTTTAAAACTTTTCCTAAGATTTTTTACTACATGAGTTCAAATTAAATAAAAAAAGCATTTTAATTTAACTTTATCAAAAGTCATCGTATTGCATTTTAAAAAAAAGTTTCTTAAGACTAAAATTTTACTTTATTGAATAGTTCAATTTTTTTTTAACATATAAACTTAATACAAATAAAATAGCATTACGAATTTTTGTTCTGACCCAATATATTAATTATTTCCATATTATTTTCATAAATTTTTCCTTAATTCAACTTTGTTATTTATTATGTGCGATGGATTTAATTTTAATTAAATTAAAACTGCATATCTTACAGTTGCATGTTTATTAAATATAGTTGTCTGATCCTGATCCTCTTTACATAGAACATATATATATATAACATATCAGGTAACTATAACTCAACAGAAATTACGTGTAATATTCAAAATCAATAAAAGCCTTTCTCCGTCCTTAATATAATCGCTTCTAGCCAATCTTCATTTCTTTTCTTATCTTGTACTGATCCATCATGATTAGGCGTTGCTGCAAAATTCAATTCAAGCTTCTCACACGAGATTTCCTCCGCCAATTTGATCCAAGTTTCGCACAAAATTTCTACCTCCAATCTGATCTAAATTTCTCACGAGATTTCCGCCTCCGATATGATCCAGATTTCGCGTGAAGTGCATTTTCTCTGAGAAGCTCAGCGGCTGACCAATGCGCTGTTTTATCCCTGCGTTTGGATAGCTGATGCTTCTAACCAAATGTCCACCACCGATTTGATCTAGATTTCTTACAAAATACCTGCCACCGATCTGATCTAGATTTTTAACAATTTGTCTATCATTCTCTGCGTTGTTTGAGACATCAGCATGAATAAGTTGATCCATAAATAACTGATTCTTTGCTTGATCAGCATTTAAATCGAGGCTGTTTAATGGATGATTTATTTTATCTTCATATCCCACAAAATTGATCAAAGAATTAATGAGATTTCCATTACGAAATCGATTGGCAAAAAGTTCCTCTCGACAGATTGTGTCAAGTATTTGCTTGTCACCGGCGGAATTTAAACATTTAATCAAACGACTCTCTTCTTCATTTAATAAACCTTTGAATTGCTTGTCGGTATCCCTTACGAGATGTCCGCCACCAATCTGATCCAAGTTCCGCTTTGCGTCCTGTTTTATCCCTACAATAATGAAAAAAGGAATTACTATAGCTTTTTAGAAAGGGATGAATTTCGATATTTTTGGTGAATATTTATTACATTGTTAATTACAATCATAATATTCATATCGCATTTGCATTGGACTGAATAAATTAATAGTAAACATGCAGAGTATGATAAAATATGGAAGTGTTAATTTTGTATCGAAATCTAAATTCATTGAAATTACGATACATGCTTCAGTAATTTCAACCTTAATTTTTTTGCTTATTCGCAGTGTCGATTTGAAATTCATTTTTTATTTGCGTAAAATATAAATTATTTTATGTATTGGAAAATTAATATTTGATTCCACCGTAGACGCACTTCTTGTATTTACAAGCAATATTTTTACTCTTTAGTTAATATAAAAAACATTTTTTTAGTTATTCTTCTAATAAACATAATACAATTAAAATTATTTAGATCAAATATTAGTTTTTCAATAATTTAAAGTGCATAACATAAATAGGTAATAATCTGACAGTTTTAATCGCTGTTTAAAAAAATATATATAATAATTTTTTCGCTTTCTCTTTATATGCCATCCAAATAAAATAATACATATAAAATTCATTCGTGCTATCGAAGTCGTCGAAGAATTGGATGCGTGAAACGAATTTAACCGTGAAGTAAAAGCTTGCATAAAAATTGCAGGGAGATTTGCACATAAGTGCAATAAAACCATGCAATGACGCGTCATGCGTAAACAGGTGACATTAGAATTCTCACACCTAAACTATATTATCACGCTTACCTCCGTCGATGTCGCCTACGCAATTTTAATCCGTGCACTCAACGATGTACATACATCATAAACTTCTCGAGCGCGATAATTTTTCCAGATAATTTTTTGTATTCACACGCAAAATTTCTTTCGTGAAAATTAAGCAGACTTCTCGTAAATTTCTCAAATATACATATAGTTTAAGTTTAGTTACGCGAACCTTTTTATTTTATACGACGTTTATTCCGGAACTGCTGGACACACGTGCTCCAAATGAATAATTAAGGAGCATGATATAATATAGAAATACAATACATAATGAATGATAAACGCATGTATACACGATACGAAAACGATAAAAGCTGAAAAGGTCGAAATAACAACGCGATAAACGAACGTATTTATGCTTATACGTATTACGAATAATTAAATTTGGAATAACGGTTGATAGCCACACTGACTACATGTTTCATCATCAATTCAACAGGCTTTATTAAATATCAAATATTAATAAAATTTTTAGATATACGTATTTCCAGTGGAAAAAATTACGTTAGTGGACTCGAAATTATTATTTAGATCCACATGTTTAGTCGAGTAAAAAATATATTAGAACACATTGTGTGAAATGACAACGCAGTAATTTTCCAAAATTAATTAAAACTGAATTCTTAAGAAACAATATACAAATATCTATTTAATTTTCCATTTCTGAAGAATTTCCCGTCTTTATAATAATCTCTTAAAAAAGCCCATAAATTGCCTTTTCTATTTAAACAATTTCCATTCCAGTGTTCATAAATTAATCATGTAAACATTGCATATGATTATTTTATTAAGACATTAACACGCGCGAATATTTCTTACTTATATATATTTTTGAAGTTGAAGGCTAATGAAAGTATGAAATTATTCTAAATGGCCAATTATCTGTTACATTTTCCAAATAGGTGTAAAGTGCAGTTTCCTGCAGAAGCAAAATTATGACCTTTGAATCGCTGATTGTAATGTGCTATAATTGAACTATAAAATGCAATCAAAAGGATGAACCATAATGAACGTCGTAAACCATGCTTCTATGCTCTTATCTATCAAAGCAATATTTCTTGTATGCATTCTGTTCTATACACGTTCCAGTCTTTAATATATATGGTAATTTTAATAACTTAATTTTTAAGATGTTTTAACTTTGTAATAACATATAACTTTTATTTTATTAATAAATAATATTATCTATAAATAACAATTTGAGGACACAATTATAATATATTCTACTCAATCCTATCAGTTTAGTAGAAATATATATATTGTATACTCTATATGTAATGTATATAGTGTGTTCTGAATTTTAATTTCAAAACTTCGAAAGTACATAAAAGATCGATAAACTAAGAAGGAAAGTTCTTTAGAGATATATTCACTTTTGTTTCATTTTGGAGGAAATTTCAAAAAAACATAGTTGCTTCGTTCTCATACTGCCTCTGAAGTGTGTATTATTATCGTTAAAATCGTATACGGAAACAATGATATTTTTCGATGTAAACTTTATTTACTGCATTTCTGGTATAAATTCGTCAATTAGGTACATCAGAAGCCATCGATTGAATTACTACTTTTATAATATGCCGCATACACATAATATTCTAATGTTGAATATGCTGATATGATTTTCGTGTGGTATCTGCAATATTACAAAAGCGATGAGAGTGTATGAGCCGATTGCTAGTCAAAAGGACAGAGAATGAAGATTACGTTTTGTCTTTTTCTGCAATTTTCTTAAAAACGTAGCAAAACCGAATATATATCTACAGAACTTTTTTCTTAGCTTATCGATTCCCTACACAAAGTTTAATGTTTAAATTCACCTTATGTATATACATTGTTCTTCGAAAATATTGTATTAAATTTAAAAATATGTAATAATCAAGAAATATTTAAATCGTATTTTATCTATAATTAAATACAATATCCGATATTTGACAATAGCAAATTTCTTTTTTGCTTTTGAAAATTTTTATATCTTTCAATATACTTTTTTTTTTCGTAAAAACATATTTAGTTAATTTTTGTTCTCGGCATTAATTATTAACATAATTTGTTTGAAACAATTTTAATCTCGTGACATAAGTAATCTAACAATTTTAAACGTTACGTTAATATAATAGATTGATACTTTCATAAGTAATTAATTAAAGTGTATAAATATCGTGGTTGTACATATCGGACATGCAATTCCGATAGACCGGATAAAAGTGATATATCAAAGGGCAAAGGAGTACGTTTAAAAATTTATGTATAGTATTAGTGCAGTATCGATTACGCATTGTTTTCTCTTTCGCGATAGTATACAATCTACTACTATAATTAGACGATGCGTATGCGCCAGTATGCACTTAAGATAAAAGTTAAAGTGGCAAATTGCCTATTGCATTATATATATCGTGCATGTGTATGCATTTGCAAAAAATTCCCAGTGATAAGTGATCTATAAAATAGGATAGCCTATATGCTGCGAGTATATCTATATTCTTTTAATTCGCATCTACTGATCTTCGTTGCACATAACGGATTATAAGTATAAAATTTATTCAATTGTCTATTCATCAAATTTATTCCGATTCGTTACTATTTCAATATAAATATAATAGTATTCAATGATGCGTTAAAAATAAAAATGTTTGCAGACATCTTCATGTGCTTTTATTTTGAATTTTATTAATTTTACTTATAAATACCATCTGCTTATCATCTCTATTTAAAAAAATAAAAACAGACCAAAGAAAGTATCTTATATAATTAAAAAAAACTTAAAAGCAACGCAACAATTATTTAATTATGTGGTATGAACGAAATAAATTATATCTTTATATTTCGCATATGTATATAATACATTCTATATTACGCCTAATTTAAAACTTGTTTGTAATAATTTCTGGAGTATGGTTTTATAATTAACATTTATATTCCGAAAGTTAATATTTGCCTTTCCTTTCTCTGATATATTTTCTTCTTTCCATATTAATATAACAAATGTAGATAAATTGTTTTTTCTTTCTTGAAAAATACTCACTTTGATCTTCCATGTATCTTGCCAAGAGATCAACCAATCCCCCATATTCATTTTGCTGCAGCGTATTCGGTCCGGTCTGTAACCGTAAACATAGAAAACTTTTTAATTGTAGCCACAGGCTGTATACGCAACTTATTGCCATTCTAAACGAGAAAGCTGGATATTCTGCTTTCGTTATTAAGGGAAATAAAAAAGTTTGCCGAAAATTATGTAAAATTTAAGTTTACGGAAAAATAAATGGAAGTATATAAATTTTTTTAGCACGTTTTTGATGCTTTTTTTACGAATAAAATCAGCCGCAATAGTTCACAAAATATGAATAATTGAAGACAATAGTGATAATTAAGGGGATCATAATATGCTTAACAGAGTGGATTTTTTATTTTTGTCAATTTTTTATTCTATTTTATGTTTAAAAATTTTATAAATTTTATTTTGTGTTTTTCGTAATTGAGATTATAAATTGATTTACGATTTCGCTATTTCTGAAAAGTAATTATTTCCTTGTTCATTAATTGCCAATCATTTGTTTAAAGGAAATTGAAACTTCATTAACTTCAACCTTATTATTATATACCCGTGACACACACACACACACACACACACACACACATTTACACACAACTCGCTAGTTATTACAGTTCGTTATTACAGTAAATAATAGTGCGTCATGATAAAATGCGATTTTATTATGGAACGATCGAAGCTATTTCGTTGACGTTGACGGCATTAGGTTTTAGAGGGAAATTAAATCTGTAAAATTTTTTCCGATTTTCAGCGTTTTTCAATGTACACAAATTTTATTTTCCTTCGCTTTGCTTATCATCCCGGTACATTATAGAAAATTGCAGATGTTCCGAAAGACCTCAAAGCGAAAAGCTCTTTCGTAAAATTCAATTAAATTGTAAAATGCGTACCTTCACCGAGGAAAAGAGAGAAAGAGAAAAAGAGTGAAGGAGAGGTAGGGAAAAAGCGAGAGAAGGAGTACATCATTATTTATGTTGTTCAACATGTAGCTTTCGGTTTTGTCAAATATTCGTTTGGCGTCATAGACCTCATAGATTGCTTATATTAAAAATACAAAGAAAATCAGAACATTGGAGCACAGTAGAAGTAACGATCGGAATTCACAACACTTTGGATGTTAGCATTTCGATCAAAATTATTACGCTAACATTGCTAACTTACATGATTTTCTACCCTGAATTAGTCGAATTTAAAAAATCTAAGGTAGGAATGTAGAGTATTAAGTATATATAAAAATATATAAAACCTTTCTAATGATATATTTAATTCCCTTTTTCCTATTTAAATTTTTTTTTTAGGGTACCTTCGCTTATAGGGTTAAAATTGAGAGTAAGAATTATACTTCAAAAGATGTTCCCCTCCAAATAAAAATTAACCTATATTTAAAAAAAATATTATTTATAGAAGATATTCATAAAGAGGATTATGATGGAAAATAATGGCTCTTACACACAGAATACGGCAAGACGTTTAAAGACCAGTAAATGGGACGTATATTGAAAATCATACAATTTTGTTTAGTTTTGTATAAAGGTTAACTTAGGTATCTCATCATGTTATTAAACGCTATGTATGGGAAAATATAAAAACTAAAAAAAAAAAGCCTTAAAAACGACTGACAGATATCTACAGAAGTCATCTTTTAATTATTATATAGATAAGGCTATATAAAGATGACTATATCAGTACGATATCTGTCGTCTTTTAATCATCCTAGGCTTTTGTCGACTATACTATCTTTCATTAAAAGATACCTTTATAACAATTTAATCATCTTTTAGATTAATTTAAACGACATTGTGCCCTCTGGGTATACTATAGACGACTTGTTAGCACGCTAACATCCATAAGCGCATTTTGAACACGGAATTAAGATTATATGCATAAAAACCATAAAACCCATATGTTAAGATCGTTCTCGGCGTAACGACGACACGTACTCGTTGTTCTTATCGTTGACAGCTTATCGCACTTACCACACGAAGTTACGAGCTATACATTATGCTAATTAAAGCTTCGTTCGTTGTACGATGCTCGACATTACATTGCGGATCGAAGTTACCCCGCGACGTTCTTTCCTTCGCGCGTCAAGTGCACATTATAAATTCCCGACACAATCGTTCTGCAATTTCGACTAAACTGAAAAATGCAACATAACGTTCGTACGTATTCAATGAATACTAACTTCTTGGCTTCCACATTATTTTTCCACTCTTGTAACAACCAATATACGAGTACGACATCTATCTCTTACATTTTTATCTGTATTTTAAATTGTATACAATATAAAAAAATTGATATTGACATTTTATTCATAAATGTAACGCGTTTGGAAAATTTTTTATTAGAAAATTTTTTTTAAGGAAATTCTAAAGTGAAACCCGAATTTCGACGAGATGGCTATTTTATACTACATAAAATAATATATATATATATATATATCGATATATTTTTATATATTTTCCGGATAACAAAATACCCGCACAATATGATCGTATGATGCGCGCACAAGTGCGGGTACTCACATCAAGTCGCACGTGCGTGACCCTTTATAACGTCCCTGCAATAAGAGTCGCGATATGAGCCGATTTCAGTCGACTTTTATATACAAGATAGTAGTTTCAGTAAAATCTATAACAGAGAGAGAAATATATTGTATCTCTGTCTAACCTTAATTCGTCTCTAGCCCATCCTCTTCCACAACCCTCTAATTTAATCTTAAACCTGTTTCGCAGTGGCGAAACAAAATTTGCTGCCATAACAATATTATGTAATACGTATCATACGTGTAAAAAAATATGATAGTATTGATCGATGACGATGCACAATAATTTGTAAAATAAATGTTAAAAATATAAAAAAGTTTTACTTTTTTCTTCACGTATAAAAGAGTATCGATTGTATATCTTGAAACGTGTCGAAGTTACAGAACTGAGTAAATTTGTTAGGTAAATTTATTTGGTGCAAATGAAATTATAAATATTTTACTTATTCACTTTAGTAATTTTAACTTTGTTTCTCAAGATCACAATCACGTTTTTAAATTTTAATCACATCTTTCAAAATAATCTTGTTAAAAAAGAGTGTTAAACTAAAACGATTCTTCCCACATGCATTATATCGCTACGTAATGTAAAAATATTTATTTGTTAAAAAATATATCTTTAAGATATTTTATTTTAATTTTTATTTTAATTATATTGTTGACATTTAAAAGTAACATAAATATAGGTATACAAATATAGGGCGGAAATTCCTGAAACATGGCGAACTAATTAATATGTAACTTTCTCAGGTCGTGACTCATATTAGAGGAGCTCTATTATAACGCATGCTGCAGTTGCGTTCTCGTTTGTGATAAGATACCTCAATTCCAGCTAGTGGACCATTATTCTATCCTTTTTATCACTTAGAGCTCTAAAGAAAAACTATACTTTTCCTATTATTATAGAACATATGAAATTAAATGAGCGAGATATAACGTTTCAATACATCCGTTTAATATTAAGCGTACTCCGAGATTGTTGAATGAAGTTCATGAGAGGAACGCCGGAAATTACAAAAACACTGATATCCTCCTGCATACAATATGCAATCGCGTTCTTTACAATGCTGTTCCGACTGTCATTCTAAGGGTACATACCGTATACATTACGCAGCTATCTCTCAAGTATCATATTAGTATGCATGAGAAAACTTTTCATATAGGAACGCACGGCGATATATATATCGTCCGAGCTTTAACCCATTCGGTTATTGCTAAGCTACGCTCGAACATCTTGTCACCTGAAAGCTGGCTATCACTGATGTTCCTGCAAATTACAATCTCACGTGTACACCCTACCTGCTTACTTTAAGTTTCTCCATTAAAGCCATCCGATGGCATTATCGGTCGTGAAACGTGTAGGTGAAAATGTATCCTGAGAAGTACTTTTATTACGTTACTTTCTCGTTCTAAAAGTCCGCGTCAGTTGCACCTTATGTTCTCTCTGCCTCGAGATGAATATGGGTCTAAGCACAAAGATGGTCGTAATAATTGAGTCATGAAACGTAAGCCGTAGTCGTAAGTCATATTGTTTTGGTTGACCTACGCAACTAGAATTAGGTTACGGCCATTTTTGTGTTTGTTAGATTCTATTGCAGTAATAAAGAAGGTGATTTTTTTATTATAAAGTTCCAAACGAAGTAACACGTAAAATTAAAATTAAGCACTATACTTTGCACTCAGAGAAAAGAGTGGAAGTAATGGACTGCATTAAAGTTAATTTTACTGGTAATGTTTTTTGCTCAAAATTCTGGAAAAATTTTATATATATAATTTTTCTAAAATTTTATTATATCTAATATATGATGTATATGTCACCGTAATAAATTAGGTAATCATTTAAAAAAGTATAATATATTATATACCTTTTTAAATTAATTTTCTCTGTAGTATTTTTTTTGTATAAAAAAAAAATTTTTCTCTTCTAGAAGAAAAGTGCAACGATAAAATAGCTGAATATTACGTTTATGTACTTTTTTATTAAAAAAACTTTATTAGACTTTATTAAAGATTTAAAACTAACCCGCTGTACAGTGTGTGTGCGTATATATATGTATATGTGTCGGGATTGAAAAATAAAAAAAAACAACTATTTTTATAAAAATTGTATCTGATCGACAGAAACATTTTATCGAGAGACATCGCTGAAGTCGATCTTTACTTTAATCTATGGAAGTGATGTGGCAAAACGGAGTCCAATACTCCATTCCGATATGTCACATAACGCGACTTCACGGCTCATCCGGCGGAGAGCTATGGAACAGCGAGAATCATTAAACAGTCTTGAGTCGAGATAATGTCTTGACACAAAAACGGAAAGGTCAAAGCATGAGAATAGCAAGCGAGAAAATTATTTGGCCTCGCGCTAAGCGCACTTCAGTGGAACGACGCGCGACTCGACGCAACAAGTTGCGAATGCAACGAAGCGCATCTCACACCCTTCTCTCTTCTCACGATTATCGAGAAAAGCGCACAACAAATAACTGACGGAAGTCCTTGGAGACTTAACGGAAAGATTAACATGAAGCGAGATCGCTCTCGATAGATTTTCAAAGCTAGAGACCGTAATTACACTCGAGACATTGTAAACATTCCTTTTGTTGCGCGCGTTTCTTCATAAAAAAGTGCTCTGCAAAAAAAATCCGGCTTTTCTTGGTAGTTTCCGTCAGAAAGTAAGTAAGTACTGCTACTTTCTGTCAGAAATTGAGTACTACTGTAGTGCTTAAGCAAATTTCATTAAATTATACCACTAATATCTTGAGAAAAAACAATGTTCATATATTTTATGCAAATTATCTCAATCTTTTGTAATTATCAATTAGCTTATAATTAATTAATAATAACGCTCAAGCGTTTAATAACGTTTAATTACTAATAAACGGTAAATACTGAATAATAATAAATCGATTTATTGTCTTTACTAAATTTTGGAAAACTGATCACAATTTTTGTAATCTTAAAAAACAATATGATTATTATATATTAATACATAACAAAGACAATTTGTATTAACTTAATGATACTAAAATCAGAATAGTCTTATGCAGTTTATCATTAAATTACCTTCATTTTAATGTGATAGACATGTTTCAACGAAATTAATTACGTACCAATAGCGCATGTAAAGTCAATAGAATTAAATTTCTACGTACAATGTGGATCTGTCGAAAATGACAGATAAACAGTCTGTCGGGCATAGCGCCTGTTCGCCTTGTTATTTGAAATTATAATGATCGACAAGGTGAATATACATATACGCCTGTTGCACGTACTTGTAAATTAAAATATAAATGGACATTGAACAATATCCTGAATATCCAATTTAATTATAAAGCTTAACAATTTATTTTTCATTTTATTTAACAATTTACCTTTAAAAGTTTGACGCAGTAAAAAGGTTTATTTATTTAACGCTACAAAAATGGGATACTTTTATCGTTATAGACGAATTTCCTTTGATCATCCTCTCCTAGCTATTAATTTTACATTTAGTAAAATGGTTTAAAAAGGTTTTTTACTCGATATTTGCACGAATTGCTTATGATATTATTTATGTAAAAATTGTTGCTATACCAATCACTGCGCGCATTTAGCTTTTTACTTTAGAATATTGTACACACTGTGGCTTGCCAGAAAAGCCAAATTTTTAAGTTGTTGTTCAATCCATTTGTTATGCTTGTATTAAAATTTTTGTCACACAAAATAGATATTGAAAATCTATTTATATGCCCATCACAAAATATAGAATTTTAAACTGAATTTCATACGTTATAAAACAAATATTATTTTTACATAAGACACTTATTATATCTAAAAATATCGATCATAAAAATTTCTAAACTTTTTTTTACTTTTCTCCTACATAGCTCTTTGATGTAAGCAAATGGGAACACGCAACAGGCATGCAAAGACGCAGATTCGGTGATATATCAATAATCTAATATGTGCAATAATGGCTAAATTTTATTACAGTATATATTATAAAAGTTAATTACTAAATTATATTTAAAACAATACAAATGTTCTTCTTCAGCCGTTATAAACCAAATATGCACAGACTTGTACCTTTATAACTTTTACGAGAATGTAATATTAAATTTAAGTTAAATATAACATTAGATATATTCGTGGTTAATTAAAAAATATTTTGCGGTGTAATATCATGCGGGGAGTGATAAAAAAGCTAAAGTTACAACCGTGATACATGAATGAAATGCGTGCTTTACCTGGATGGGTCCGGCCACCACATAAGCGGCCACGCCAATAAAAACGATCACGATCGATGAACAGGAGAATGCCATTATACCGTTGAGTTTAGTTCACGGTGCGTGTGGTCTCAATGGAAATCGAGGACTCGTTCTTCAGAAAAAAAAACTAATCAACCCCGGTTTCTTCAGACTCGTGGTGCACACACGTCGTGAAAAACGTGTGAAGTGGTCAGAGTTTCGTGCTTCCATGGAATATATAGAGGGCTGCGTTTTCCCCTGTTTAGGTAGGGGTGCAAACGTCGCGCAGACGCGGCATGTCGCAGGTCGACGATTAGTTACATTTGTCGCTTTATATCGCAAAATTCGACTTACATTGATAGCGATAAACTCAGGTATTATCCGCACAGAGGAAGAAAGAAAAAGAGAGAGAGAGAGGAGTATCTCGAAAGTGAGATTAGAACTATATAACGTCGAGCAAAGTTCATATTGCTATAAGATGCATGCACAAAATCAATTTTACTATTATTCGTGAAGACGAAAATGTGATAACTGAAAGACGATGAAATAAGTTTTTCTTATCAATTACACAAGTAATTTTTATCGGACTGTATAAAATAAATTATACCATTATTTAAGTTTTAACAAATTAAATCTTAAATTCATACTTTTTCTATTCGTCTTTTTTTTTTTAAGTATATAAAGATTGATAGAACAGCGAGTTTGCTATTTTACTACCAACATAATAAAAAATTCAATAAACTTGTTAATTTGAGCAAACGAATAGATATTCTTTATCATGTTGCTATATCTCATATCAATAATCTCTAACGTTTTTACGGTCTAGATAGAATAAGTGGATAATAAATAATGTTTAATCCATCAAATCAGACATGTCTTCTGATCATTAACAATTTTTGTTAAATAAAGTATAAGTATTTTTCGATAATATGCATCAATCTTTGACGTTGCATTAAAATGGCTTTGCCATTTGAACTATTAAAAAGAAGATTAATATCAGAAGATATAAGCGCAAGATATATACAGGTTCACTTAAAGTAATATCACTTAAAAGCGAGATGATCAGGCGTCGTCGAAGCAGCTGGGATCTACTGGTCTTTACTTTTTACTTCAAGGACAAGATTTTTAATAATACTGAAATGAAATTCTTCAATGTATTTCTTTCATATAGGTCACATCAAGATCAACTAAAAATTTAGACCCAAAAGGATCATCATTGCTTTTCAATAGTACGTTCACTTTCGAATAGTATTTAACTTTACTTTAATATACAAAATAATATACAGTTTTGGTAAAAAATTAATTGGATTCATCAAGAATATTCTTTAGTAATAATAAAAATATTTTTAATACTATTTGTACATGATTCTACTTGAAATATATAATGAAACAACATTAATTCTCTTTCTCTCTCAGAATACTTATAAATTTTACATAAATTTTAAATCATGGATGAATCTCAAATACAATTCGTATAATTTTGAATTAAAAAAAATCTGATTAAGCAAGAAATTGACAGATATACTCAATCTTACATTTAAAGCTTAAATTTGTCGAAATCGTTTAATAATAATCCTTTTTTATTCTGCAATTTCATCAATAAATTAACGAAAAGTATATAATCAACATGTATTAAAATAATTCAGACATTTGTAATGTTTGGGTACTATTGTGTATATATTAAGAGAATAAAAATTACTAAATTCTGTTAAAACCAGTAACGTCATATGTAGCAATTTTAAGAAAGAGATTGTGATATTCTCGTCTCTCGATGATTCATCATTGCAGCATGGTTAACTTAATCGGACGATCCTGTGCATTCACATCAATGCAAAAGCCGCGAACTGCGTGTTCGAGGGGAGGCGACTGCCCACGATCGATCCTGCTCTCGTATCTAGTGCAGAAAATAATTGTTAGCCATGAAAATCATCTGTACATCGTTTATCATTTATATTTGTCGCGTGGAATGGACAAAATGGCAAGCGAAAGGATACAAAACAGAATTAAAATATGGAAATCAAAAGCGTCGGCGCAAAATGACGCACTAAAATGTACAAAAAAGAAGATATACGTGTTTTCTTTTTTTAAGGTATTTAATTAATTCAAATTCAAAATTGTTTTAGACTGTTTGTATAAAAATTCCATGATAAATTATATTGCTTTCAACAACTTAATGTGTACATACATATCCCGCAGAGACATTAAAATATGACAATATACATATAGTTAATATAATCCGATCATCTTTAATCATGTCAAATGTCGGGGGTGACTCATGAAATATATAGGTACAACTTGGACAGAAAAAGGGGAAAACCTCCCCACTCCCGGTAAAATAATCGTAATTATGATAAATTCCATTTCGAAATTATTAGTTTTCTAAGAAATTCTGGGAAATTATTTCCTTGAATTTCAGCATTCTATTTATTAATTTTTTCCTTTCTGCCTTTATTGTTCTTATTATTGTGTTCTTTAAGATGAAATTGTCATCTGATTTTATTTCTCGGTTTTGTGGGGGAGCTCGCGGTGTTTAAACATCTTTTAATCCTTTGTCAATTTTAAATTATATTTTATTTATGCAATTTTTCATTGTCTCTGAAGAAGGCTCAAAAATGAGCCGAAACATGTAAGAATAATTTTTGTAATAAATAAGTTTTGCTTGATAAATATCAGCGTTTGCGTAAAGTTATCTGCGCTTAACTCCTAGTGCCCTTTTTCTTTCCAAGTTGATTTTGAATTGTACGGGAGTTTTTGTTATCAAAGAATTATTATATAATTATATAGGTACGTATGTATATATATAATAAGATACGAAATTGCACGGTGAATCTGATATTCATATTTGCGATGATATTTTCTAAAGAATGCTTCTTGTCTTCAACACATTGTAGCCGCGATCAATTTAAATCAATCATTTCGTATAGCTTGAATTATTACGATATCTAATTCTCGTCTGGCGCGTGTGCTATTGTTAGTTAGTAGCAGCAACGATGTTCTACTATAAATCTCTTCGAGTCTTTTGCAATTCGAGTCTTTTGCATATAATCTTGCGCAACGAGAAGCGTTAATGGAGAGCATTGGAAAGCACTCCTGCCTGCAAGTTGCATAATCTGATGCAGATCGTAATTCGGCTTGCACGACTCCAAAACGTAAACGTATAATTGCGTAATTTCATCGTGCGCGAATCTCGGGAACTCTAATGAGAAGAGGTGTATTTTCATTATCTGTTCATGTGTATATTACCGCATGTGGATATTATAGTAATGACATTTTCACGTATCACTTGATAACGGTTAACTCATGCTAATGTCACCCTAGAAAGAGCAAATATCGTTGTTAAAATTCGTGACGCGCTCGTTAAGAGCAGACTTCGCAATCCTCGTGCATCAGTCCAGGTCTGGCACACCTGTTCGATAACAATTGAGTATACAATGCCGTATACAATTTTTCACAGATTTTGGTCGCGTTTGTCTAATCTTTAAACCCATTTAGACATATCTATGGTTTAAATAATTCCTAACCAAATTCAAAACATAATTCTATTTATAATTTTGCACATAACGTAGAAAACATTTGAAGGAGTAGCCTTTGAAGGAAACATTTAAACAAATAATACACACATACAGAAATTACATATCACTAATTTCTTTTTTTTTTTTCTATATATATTCTGTGTGTATTTTACTTTTTTCAATATTTTCTATGTTACACGACACACAGTAATAGGTCTATTCGCGTTGCTTGTATACTTCTTGCATTCAGCATCTTTGTCTTCTCTTTGTCAACGCCCAAATATATATATATATCCATCTCATTTTAAGTTAAGCAATTTTTGAGGATTTCGAACGACACGAATAGTCCTGAATAAAATTTTGTCCCGAATTTGATGGTGAATTTTAACTTTTTAATTACTCTTGTATTAACTTAGCTTCCACTTCAATTAATTTAATTGTGGATTTAATTTGAACGTGAACGCTAAAGTCACGTTATCCTTTTCTTAATTAGATGTGAAGAAAAAGATAACGTAATTTTAGCGTTTACCCATCACTTTGCACATCACTTTGCATCGCACGATAGATATCATGCAATTAAAGTTTTATAAGATGGCAACGTTACAGTCACGTTGAAATATTTTCCAACAGCGTGGGAACAAATGCTTGAATGAAATCGGTAGACACCCTTATATGCCGTAACCCTGCCTCCGTAGTAGAAGCCAAAGGTTCGAGCTCTCATTCGAAGGAAAAAGTACTGTTATTTATAGATGTGAATAGACGAGAAAGACAAAAACTAAATAGAAACTACGTAGCTCGAACAAAGACTGCCTGAAATCTACGCATCCCCCTCGGACGGATATCGAGTGGCATTAATGGCATCTTGGCGACAATGTAATGGGATCGTTGGAATATAGGGCCACTATTATTTTCATAATTTCATATATAAGGAATGGATGTTAGAGACAAATTCTCAGTATACGGTGATGGCTCGTGCGAGACGTGTCCTAAGAAGGATGAAACTCCTTATTCTTTGTGTAAGCATTAGACGTGTATTGCGATATAGTTACGTTTACACTGTGCGCTTAGTCCGCGATCTATACGATAGGTGTCTTTGTTTAACTTACATATACTATATTATAATATAATATTATATATTATAATAACTTACATATATGATAAACAAGAACATCTATTATTTAGGCCGCGGCTTAAATGCACGGTGTAAACGTAGCCATTATATAATTTATTATATTCTATATGCATTTTATGTAAACACAATATTTAATGCATTATTTAATATTAATTTAATATACTGAAAAATTAAATAAAAATTCCATTTTTTCGTTTTGTTGAAGTATTATAGAAATAATGATCATTATTTTGGATGACAGATTTTGATAAATTTCGTCAATTTTGGTAGACTTTTCTTTAGACAAAATTTTAAGAAGCCTTTATTTAATGCAGGTCTTTAATATTCGTCATTATGTTTCAACAGTTAAACTTTGAGTGTAAACAATTAAAAAAATGTATATATTATATATATTCATGTTTTCATTTAAATTAAAACAATCAGATTTTTTTATTGTTTTATTTTGATCGTTTTTAATGAATCTTATGATATTCTAATTAAGAAAAAATCATTCGTCTTTTTGTGTGTATAATATCTAAATTTTTTAAAAATTAATTTCTCTCTTGTTACAAAAATTCCATTATTAAAATTTGTTTGTATGGAAGAAAACTGATAAATTATTATTAAAAATTAAAATTAGATGTAAACTTTTGACAGAAAAATACTACACACGTGATAATGTAAACAAATCATCATATTAATTATTTCAATTATAACACATTTGAATGACTGCGATCAAACCAGGTAATGATTTACGGGTTGATGGCGGAGAGTACAGAGGAAGTCTTGTCACTCGGCCGGTGGAAGCAGCAGGTTATTGCGCCGGAGTTCCTATTGAACAGTCGCGAGGATATCTCCGAGAGCAATCGAGATACGTTCCTCTATGGGAACAAGCATAACTTCCGTCCCGAGGGACTCGACGAGTTCAAACGAATCACCAACGTCGAGAATATCGGCGTCGAGTTACAGCCACGTCTTGCAACGAGAGTACGTTTACATACTTCCTATAGGAGTTTCTCTTTCGTAGATTTTTTGCGGAGAAGTAACATTATTATACATGTATGATGCTGTGCGATGTGTCATCATATATTTTAGTCAAGTTGAAATTAAAAATTTCTATTTATCAAACTTTTACTAGTTTTAAAACTTTTATTATATAACTGTTATTTTTAAATTAAAAATTCATTGTGCGTACGAGGATCGTTTTATACGAAGAGGTTGAGTGCTTATTTCCATCGTGATACTTTACTCAATCAAAGCTGTTTTTCTTTGTTTAAATAGAAAAGTTCAATAGAAAAGGAAAGTGAAATACTTGAAAACTATTTTTTTTAAATATTTCATTGGCCGATTTCATTATCATGTATACTTTATTATTTTTAATACAAACTGATAGATAGAAGTATAAATGTATCTTTCATAATATTATATATCCATAACGACGCTTTTATGAGTGAAGATTATTAAACGTGTATAGTAATTATTTTCATGATTATTTTCTAAATGAAACGAGGAGGTTTCGCACGTGCGTCGCTGATATTAATAACAAAGGTCACCCAGATTATTCAGAAATGACAGCTGCGAATGCAAATGACTTTTTATTTTTCTTTACTGAATAGAAAATTACATTTATTTTTCCAGCGTAACGTGTTGTTAATTAAATGCGCAGCAATCCAAATTTCATAAAGAGTGAAATATGTAAAATGGTTTTTCTTTTTCGTTACGTTATCTATTTATTTTGTTTCGCTTCGCTAAATGCCTTTGCAATTGTGTAGGGGCAATGATAAAACAACTGTCAACTGTCTACGACAAACATGACGTTTAATTGATACACATACATGCACGCATGTACGCACAAAAGCACAATAAATTAAATTTAAAAAATTGTAATGCAAAAATATAATATTGAAGATACATCTCGTTTTATGAAATGATATGATTTGATGTAATAAATTAACTCAAATATTTCGAGATTGATCTTCTAAATATGATGCTCTCTCAAAACGTAATACAAACTATACTTATAGCGACAATTACAAAGTCTTTTTCTTAGTACAGGAAAATATTATTCAAAATTATATAAAATGTACTTAAATATATATGCCGGTACACAAAACTAGGTATAGCTATATAAGTAGCGGAAAAAAATATCTCTGCAGATACATGTACCTAGTTACAGTATCTATAGATACTATTGCATTAACTGATATTTAATGCTATCGATATCCGCGAAACTCCAAATATTTCTTAATAATTCCGAATTAATTTATTAATTCGTGCTAAAAAATGTGTCGAAGTCGACGAAGAAATATTTTAGTATTTTTTGGAAAAGCATTAAATAGAATAATGAACATTTACTACGACTCATGTTTTCTTATTTCAATACCTCATAACTTCAGTTTTGGAATATCGTATACATGTTTATTAAACATTTTTGACTTATTATTTTCTAAGTGCTTAAGCCGCTGTAGCAGTTTGACACAGAGAGTCACTTTGTACAGAAAGTTATTTTATTGAAAATTTGAAAATAAGCTCGCTACAAGAGCTATCGATCGAACGATATAAACACTGTAACATCGCTTTATATATTTAATTAATTAAATTCATCACGAAGGACTGTTATTTTGTTTTTTTTTTTCGTGTGGCATTCCACTGTTTTGCGAGTAAACAACTCAACACGATGCTTATAATGCACCACAACAGAAAATATAATTTAACTCGACAAATTAATTTAACTTGATTTCTCATTGTGTGTAATTTCTGTAATATTAATTAACGTACATGATATATATAAAGTCACTTGACACGTAAACGTTTATTAATTATTTACAGTCTTTGTCATGCATCTGCGAAACGCAATACGAAATAAAGGATTTGGGCGATGGACATTATCCGAGATACCTGACCGCGTCGAGCTGCATGCCGAAAACCTGCCTGAGCAAGTTCAATTCCTGCAGATTGCTGCACTACATGGTAAGATAGCGTGACAATCAATAATTTACAGTACGAAGTAGTCGATTGCTCGCCGCCTGTAGGTGCGTCCATGAAGTTGTCAAGTACTGGTGCAAGTGTACATATTTTTAATTAGCGCTGACCGCGTAAACTCTCAGCTTATTGACCGAACATCCCATCGTCATTCGCATAAACATTGTCATCCACCGTGATGGTAAGTCGCGCCGAGTGCCGCTTTAATTACGATACCGAATAAATTCGCATGCTACAATAAACGTTCATTTATAATTACGCTTTACGCATTCGCGAGATGTGACACACTTCGATTATATAATATTATGAAATATTAGCCTTGAATTGCTGTATATGTGTGTAAAAGTATATATCTTAATTCTATTTCAGTTCGCTAGAACAGCTGCACAAAATAAATTTCGTTATTACTAGCCTTATACATATAGATTGTAGATTACAATGGAAAAACATAAAAATACAACACGTATTATTTTCTGTAGTTTTTATTTGTATCCTTCGGAGATAAGGGCAAATGTTAAACGAGGATGTAACGATATTTAATAGTGGTGTTTGAAAATTATTCGTCTACGACAACGTCCTCTCTACGTGTTCACAATTATATATATATGTATTTACAGAAAATGCAACTGAAACCGCGAAGATTAATTAATCCGTATGCAGTGTTGATGTTATTTTCATTCGTAATAAGAATTCTCTTGTCGGCCAAACTTATAATTAATAGTATTAATTTACATGTGTAATTACTCATCCGAGACTTGTTATACAGCAATGGTACATTAAATTACAGAACAATATGGCATAACAACTGACAATCATTCATAGGGGAGACCGGGGTTAGTTGGCATACGAAGCAAATTGGCACTGCATTCCGTTTATGTATTAATAACGAAAGAAACAAAAAGTTACCGCAAATTATTCTTTTAGCTAACAACTAACATAAATACTTATTTCCTCTAAATTTTATTTAAATAAAACAAGTATTACAATATAAAAAAAAAGACAAAAATTGGATTCAAGAAGAAGTAAGCAAATTTTTTAGCATTTTATAATTTTATATTTATGTATGTCCTTTGGCTTGAAGAAGCAAATCAAAGTAATATGTTGTTAGTTAAAAGAAAAGTGTTTATTAGTATACACGTTATTTTGAGTAACAAGGGTAATTTGTTTTGATAAAATAATAAAAATCAGAGTAAAAATAAAAATCACGTATGAAGAAGGATGGGGTACGTTGGCTCATTTAAGAAAAAATTAGATTGACTTGCTGTACCGCACATGTAAATATTCAATTACAACTCTGACAAAACGCTTTATATTCAATATTTCTATATTAAAATAAAATTTAAGGCCAATATTAAAGTGTATATACAGAACGTATATAATTCCCCTAAACATTAAATATAATAAATCAAACAATAGTAATTGGATATTTCGTTATTCTATACAGATTCACGTGTTGAGCCAACGCGAATTAAACGATGACCGTTTCTCGCACGATAATGATCTTCAGGAAACACCACTTCCGGAAGCTCTCCGTCATAAATGGCAACTGAAGCCTATGAAAATCCCAGTTGCATGTGTGTCAACGACAGGATAGAAGAAAATAATATATTACCAACTCGGACGTATCAAACGGATAGAGAAGATAAAATCTATTAGTGACTTCCACCGATCGTTTTGAAGATTGTTAAGTATTTGACAAATAAATAAGTGCATCATATTGAATTTTACGCTTCTGCTTGCAATACATACTTGGCAAAATTTAAAATATACAAGTAATAAATAAATAACTAAACTGTGAATTTCAGTGGTGTAATTTTTTTTAATTTTAAAATATCCACTTCGTCTTCGAAAATTTATAATATTTTCACTAATAAAAATTAGTGGCCAAAAAAATTCATCAGAAAATTAATCATAATCTAATTTAGAGAGAGAGAGAAAGAGAGAGAAAGAGAGAAATAAGAAAAATCGGAGATTAATTTAGACACTTGCATATATCACACCAAATTCGATTATATGAATAATCGGTATTATTTAAATTGCTATTGATTTAATACACTTTTTTTCTTTACGTTTCTATAGAATAAAAATACTTAATAACAGAAAATATATCATTAAACTAATAGAAATTTATGTCGATGCGATTTCTATTGCACAATGTTCCTCTGAGAAACATGATTTTTATACGTACATTTTTTAACAAAATAGGTTGCATTTTTATAAAAATACATTGAATATTATCAATAAAAAATGTACAAAACAATTTTTTGATGTAGTTTACAGTTTCAGCATCAAAAAATAAACATGATTAAAATCAATTAAAACATTAATGATGCAATCCACTTTACAAATTTGCTACAAAAATGATTGTGTGTACTTAAGGTTTAATATATATAAACTCTTACATTTTAGTTTTTAACATATAATTTTTGTAAAAAACTAAATGTAAGAGTTTATATATTGGTCAATTTTTGCTATTTATTTTCTTCTGTCTTCTTTTATTATGGCTATTTATGATATCAAAATTTTTATACTTTATAGTTGATAGGAAATTTAATTTCCTATAAAAAAGTTCTCTTCAAATTTTTTCTTATTTTGCGTCGTTTCCAAGATATTAAAAATAACGAAAAATGACAATTTTTGTTAATATCTCCGAAGTGTACTGCATTTAATTCAATATCATTTTTTTAAACTCATTTACATGTTGAATGATTATATAAATCAATAAAATTTCACTAAAGAGAATTAGTTGCGAATAACAGTCGTTTTTCAGCTCCAAACAATAGTCTAATTAGGCACGTAATATAAATTTAAGAGGCAAGACCGATCGATCGCTCGCTCACTCACGCCTCGCGTCAAGAAATATAATAAAAAAACTCGTGCATTTTCAGTCGTTTTACGCCTAGGATTATACCGAAGCAATCAACGGCGTGAATAAAACTGGGCGCAATGAAAGCTGCGACATAGGGATCCAATTCCGCGCAATTAATCATGCTATAAAATAGCCGATTAAAAAGAAGCTCCTGGAAGCTTTAATGACAGGCCTTTACTGCTTGATTTAATTTTTAGCTATACGATGCTGTATTTTACAGCATGTTATTCTCGCCTCTCGTAATTTTAATTTCGTCACTTATAGGTAAGAATTGTTCTAAAATTACAAAGTAAAATTACAAAGTAAAATAACTAAAATTTAAAAATAAATAAAAGTGTGATAGAGATAGTAATAAAGTTATAAAAAATATAAACAAAATCGAAATAGAAAATATAAAGATTAAAAATATGCTTTTCCATTCAGCGCACAGATCATTCCAGCAATATTGCAGTTACATTGCAACGTTGCAGCAATATTGTTGTAAGCTTCTATACTATAGATTGTAAAAAATTAAAAACAAATGATTCTGTAATTTAATGAAACAAAGTCGATTATATATTTTAAATTTCCATAAAATCGTTTCTCTGCAGTGAGTAAAGTCAGATCTTATACATAAAACACAGAATGCAAGTTGCAGATCGCAAGCTTAATTATTACGTCAGCCAATCCCTCTTGCATCAATTTTAACAGCTTCGAGATTGGCTGACGCAACAAGCTTGCAACTTGCGACTCGCACTCTATTTCCACGTTATATACATACATATATGCATATATTATCTAATCATGAAATTCTTAGGAGTTCGTAGAAATGCAACAAAAGTTTCTCTCCTTGCAGATTCTTGAATATTCAACGAACATTTCTTACTGTAAAAGAGCAATTTATGTATCCTTAAGATTAAAAACATTCGAGTTATACAAAGTTACAAAGTATTGCAAGTATTATATATATATTCCATGAATACTTATTGTTAGATGAATAACTTCTCTTTACGCAAATGTTAGAATATCGGAAATAAATTACACTTGTCAGCTTTCTAAAGCTATTGTTGCCATTTCAGTCAAACAAACTACAATATCGAATTGGAACATTATAAATATACTTATACTTTTTTTAAATAATAATCAACGTAATGTAATTTGCGAAATGTTATGTAAAAGTAATGTGAGAATATATCTTCTTTAATAACATAATGTAATTTGCAAAATGTCATGTGAGAATAATGAAATAAAATCTAAATTTAAATCTAATATACATGGTAAAACATAAGAATATATCACTTGTAAATTCAGCTCTGAAGCCATCAAAATGCAAATCGACATAAAAAAAAATAAATGTGGGTAAGATATCGGGGACTCTAAAGTACAGATACACATTTGAGCTATATGTACAAGGTATCTAAAATTCAAATATTAAAACTTCGGGAGCGTGTGGAGGATCGATAAATTAAGAAACAAGTCTTGTAGACATATACTCGTTTTTTTCTTTCGTTTTGGAGAAAATCACAAAAGAAACGTAGTTTTCGTTTTTGTACCTTTTTATTACTTATTCGTGTGTTGTACTTATATTCACTTGCTACTAATGTAGATATCGTTTAAAACTCTTGCAGGAATGCAAGCATATCATCAGTGACAGCTCGGGTAGCAGCCAAATATTGATCTTTGTGATATTTAGTGCAGCCTCGATTCGGTTTCTCAATTATTCTCTTGAGTTGATTGACGACAAATAAACTTTCTACTTTAGAACCCTTCACACAAAGAAGTTACGTGATGAGGTGATCGGAGTGGCCAAGGCGCTACTTCTTCACGTCCAAGAATGAAACAACTACGTTTTGTCTTTTTTGCGATTTTCTTCAAAAGGAAGCAAAAACGAGTATGTTTCTACAGGATTTTTATTCTTAATTTATGAATCCCTTACATACTTCCGAAGTTTTGATGCTTAAATTCTGAACACCCTGTATATTATTCATCAAATTTTGTGTTGTACTAAAATAATAAATTGAAAAATAAAATAATTTTAAATGCGAAATGATGACCTTCGCATACATTTCTCTTATAGTCATATTTTTTTTATTTTTTAAATATTTCAACAGGGCTTTCTAATTAACGGGATTTGACTTCCGGCCTTTCCGGAAAAGGTAATATTTTTCACAATAAACATTTATTTACAAATATCCAGCATATCAAGATCTCTTTAATAAATACCAATTGAGCATCAAAATTTAATCGTAATATTGCTACAGTAGAGTTTACCTAAGTCCGTAAAAATTAATTTGGCGCGCAGTCCAAATAACTTATACAAATATATATACATATATGTGTACGTATACATATATAATATGTACATATTATAACACAAATTCCTATGGAATTATTATAGGTAAGCATTAAAGATTCAGCTTCGACCGTTATGAGCTTGTATGCTTTATTGATTGTGTTTATACGATATATTTTCACGATCCGCAATATATAAGATTCTTATTGTTTCTTTCTAATTAAGTTCTAAATAGATCGCCTTTCTTGTGCCATATACATTTTATTCATCAAAAAAAATTCATCAAACTTGATGAAAGCACTCAAGCGTTTTAGATGGATCTAGTTTATGCATTTTTGAAAGTCACTATATTATGTGCCTATGCATCCACCGCAAGAAATACAAGCTATATCCATAAAAACGACATGCTACCGAGACTGTGGGTGTCCACAGCACATTACGTAGCGTAGCACTGTACACGAAAAACCAATATTGCTACTCGAGACGGTTAAAGCTCGGTCTTGAAAGCCAGCATAAACCTGAATGCACTCCTAATTTCATTAGGTACGTACATGTACGTTGTTCTAATGGTTAATTGTACCACTTAATAATGATCTCACGTACTAGACGCATCATCAAAAGTTTCAATAAACTACCGATCGTCGTAAAAAAGAATTAATTACCGTTACCAAATATCGTTAGTCGTATAAAATTATCGTTGTTTGTAATCGAGCAGTTAATACTTTTTAAATCACATTAAAAATTGGATTTTTTGAAAAATATAAGTTTTATTATTAATGACTTTTATACAAAATGGCAAATACCATTCTATTTTCCATTTAATTCAAAAGTTTTAAATGGGAAGTTTGAAGTGGAAGTTTTAAAAACCGTTTTACCTTGTATTGTGATAAATAGCTAGTTGTACCATTGCAAAAAAAGTAATTTTAAAATGTCAAAATATTGTATAATTGTATAAATTAAAAGTAACAAAAATTAGACTCTGCATAAAACATTTATATACAATTTGTTTAATAAAATATGAAAGCTTAAATTTTAATTGCTTTTATTTATTCGCAAATGTCTTTTTTTATCGTATATGAATATATTTCGCGTGAAAACTTGACTCTAATATTTTCGAAAATTTAAAACGTAATTGTTTATTTCGTTGCACAAATCCACCGGACAGTTATTGCGATGTCAAGTGATTCCTCTTTTCTCGAGAGAGCTTCGAAAAAAAATAAACAAAAATGATAAAAAAAAAAGTACACGCATGATCCCCTCTCGTAGCAAAGCCATATTGCACTCACAATACAATTTTTCAAACTTTACAAAGAATTTATTCCAGCCGATTGTGTGCCAACAGTTCGTCATGTCGCATAAATTACGCGTGTATTCGTGGGTCGATCGAGCGTAGTTAAAACCCTGCTCTGAAGCGTTAACGGTTTTCCAGGAGCAAACACTCCAACGCTGTTTGCCCTCTTGCCTTGACAATATTGGCCGCCCGTCATCACCACTCGAAGCCGGCTCGATGCTTCCATACGCGTCTTTGCTTTGCTCTCCAACCGCATGATATCGTGCATAAACGAATGTGAAAGGAAGATGGACAAAATGTATACTATTCAAAATTATATCAATGAATACTGAAGATGCACTTTTCAATTTGTATTAAGGATCTCTTATTTTCTTTTTTTTTCAATATTAGGCTCAATCGTTGCTATACAAATTTGATTTAAAAAAAAGACCAGAAGATATATTTTAAAAAAAAAAAGCTTGACAAATATTATTTACTTTCCGTGTCTAATTGTAGATACGCACTGTATGAATAATTATTCTATTATCGAAAACAAAAAAAATTATTTATTACATTATTAGATGCGTGATTTATTATAATATTTATAAGAACAGAACTGACAAAATTATTTCAAATAAAAATAATATAATAGTAAAAACAGTTAAAATATAACATTAAAAATAGATAAAAATTGATAAATATACAAATAATAACAGGATTAAAAATCCATTAAAAAATCTTATATTATAGTAAGAACAGTCTAGAGAATAATCCTTCTTCGTTATATTATAGATAAAAAATAGAAAATATAATTTTCTTATATGATTTTATAGATATGTCTCTTACAAATTTTATGAATCTGAAATTAAATGGCTAAATTCCTTGGCTCGCATGAGCAGCCAGTAAATCAACATATATAAATATTTACGCAACGCATATGTTTACATCTATTACAAAAGCACATTGCACATACATGAATTCTAATGAACTGGTCTATGAACAGTAATGCCGATAGTGATGTAGCTTGGGAATATCATAATAGCTGTATGAACTACTGAAACAATTCCATTGATATTCTAAAGCGAACTAAAGTAAAACATACATATAAGCAATGTATTTAAATAATCTCTGGTAAATGCTAAATTAACATGAAAGGTACGACGAAGTCGCTGTGATTTTCGGGTAATTGCTTTCTCTTCAAATATAACTTAGTATATATAAAACGTAATCAAACGTAAAGATCAAAGATTCAGTTTGCCATTTGCCAGAACGGCACAACAAATAACTAATTAAACTTTCGTAAAATGAGACAAATATGTGAAAAGAACCCTTTTCCGGGTCTTCTTGAAATAAAAACAATATCATTGAAGAAATTAAGCTATTCTAGGATTTTTATTTTTAGCACTATAGTAGAGTCGATCTTTACGTGTCTCGAAACGAATACGCGAACGCATGGTTGCGGTGATCACTTCTTTTGTTTTTTTTTACCCTTTTTCGCGCTCACGCACACACGGAATATCATCGCTTCGAGTGACATTCTGGCCCTCGAGCGCGGATATAGCCACTCGAGCTACTGTTTGCGCTCCGGCTGATCTTCCATTTACCCTGCAGGTATAGGCGTACTTCTAGCGGATTATTAACCATACTTCGCTTGCACTACGACCATATCTACGTATATCTCCTTTAAAAAGTAACGATAAAACATGTCGCGTTCGATGGATTGAATCGTGTTATTTTCTCAATATTCAATAATTAACGCTCGGGACACATTAATTGTTATAGTCGACTGAATTAATTGTAATGGACTAATTGTAAGCGACTATCTCTCTCTCTTTACTGAACGATTTATAACAATTACTGTTATTCATGTAATAACCGGATAATTTAAACAGTTATTCGATTAAATTAATTACTAAACAATACAATGGAAAAAATTTTAATTAACTTTCTCATTAAGTATAAAATGGCCGGTTTTTCTTGTAGACATTTTTACATTAAAAAAGGATGCTTCTTCAGTATAAAAATTCCATATCTTTAAATTTTTTAAAACGACTATGATCAGATGCTAATCCAAAACATTTTTTTTTAATTTATGACATTTATTAACATATATATTAAATCATTTTATGACCGTACAATTGATAAATAAATTAGAAAAAGAAAGGCTATAACGGTCGAAGCTGGATCACAGTGCTTATTATAATTGTGTGAATTTTATATACTGCGTATGTAGTCCCCCCCGCGACGCTGATGGATTTTCAGCATATTGACGCATACATATATTCACTACCGCAGTAATATCACTAAGTTAAATTGACAAGCAATCTAACAATTTGATGCTTATAGCATCTTATTGGATCTTAATAATATGTTGAAAGACATATATTAAAATTTAACGATGTATTATTCTTCGCAAACCATTATTTTTCACAGATTTTAATTTAATTTATCATTACTTTAATAATACATCGTTAAATTTTAATATATGTCTTTCAACATATTATTAAGATCCAATAAGATGCTATAAGCATCAAATTGTTAGATTGCTTGTCAATTTAACTTAGTGATATTACTGCGGTAGTGAATATGTATGCGTCAATGCTGAAAATTCATCAGCGTCGCAGGGAGGACTACATACGCAGTATATAAAATTCACACAATTATAATAAGCACTGTGATCCAGCTTCGACCATTATAGGCTTTCTTCTTCTAATTTGTTTATTTATTAACATATTGTTAATGTTAATATTAATATTTTTTATATTTATTGATTTAATTTAATTTTACTTAATATTTGAGATTAGTTTGATTCCTACATTTTTTAATAATTTATGAAAGGGGGAACCCTGAACGGATTCTTTTTATCTTTTTATATAATAGTTTATACATATTGATGATTTCTTAATTTCCTTCTTTTAGTTTATATATATTTATGATATATAGAGATATATACACGGTAAAATTTAGATTAATAAATGGCATTAATTATAGATAATTATATAGTAAGATTTTGGAAAATTATAATAATTTACATAGTTTTTTTTAGTAAAATATCTATGTATATATTTTATATTTGACTTCTTAAGACTTATGTAGAAGCTCCGGTGTATGGGTCAATGATTTTGGTGGGAATTTATTAAAACAAGGGAATGGGTTAATTTTTTTTTTCGGTCATTAGAGATATTTTATAAATGTAAAGTTTAGAAAAAGAGTGTTGAGGATTAGGATTGTAAGGAGGCTAGGCATAGAGATACTTTGTTTGATTTAAGTAGATATAAAAAGAATAGTGCCATATTTGTCTATGGTTCATATAAATTTAATATTAAGTAGGATTATTAACTATTTAATAATTTCGGTGAATAGAGATATTTTATAAATGTAAAGTTTAGAAAAAGAGTGTTGAGGATTAGGATTGTAAGAAAAAGCTAAACAGGGATACTTTGTTTAATTTAAGTAGATATAAAAAGAATAATGCCATATTTGTCTGTGGTTTACATAAATTTAATATTAAGTAGGATTATTAACTATTTAATAACTATAAATAAAGTGGGGACGTTAAGAAGGTATTTAATAAGAGTGTCTCGATAGGCTCTATGTTTGTTGGAAAAATTTCATTTAGTGAATTTATATTATCAGTCTAGAAAACGATAATTATTTTTAAATAAGCGATTAATTATTGAAGATATACCAATAATAATAATGTAATGATGATTTTTATTTTGTACCTGTTGTGTTTTCTTTGGTTTGTATAATCAGAAATCGCGCAAAAATAATATGTTCGAACTTGAGTTAGATCTCTCTTTCTCTCTCTCTCTCTCTCTAACGCGCAAGAAACAGATAAATGACTGGAGAATTTAAATTCTCCACGTGCTGCGTTTTTGGGGTGTATATCAATTGCATACGAGCCAGTTACACACAAGCCAATCACAGCGCTAGAAAAAAGAATAAAAAAAAATTCCCTACGCAGAAGTTGCTGTGATAGGCAATGCTAACAGTGTGCAAGTGAATTACTCCCGCGTTTCTGTGCATTCACAGCGCATCGCCACTGGACGCGGAAAACGCTTGCCGCGCGGCAAAATGTGACATGGTAGCCAATGAACATGTTAGGAGCTGTAAGCTCATTGGCTACCGCGTAATCGTGAATAGCGATAGCGATAAGTTTCAACCTATAAAAAATGTGTATTCCGGTGTATTCGATTTCTGTTGCGGGCAGGAAGTAAGATATAAGGAGACTCCACTCCGTAAAATAAAAGTGGACCCATTTTAGGTTTCGAGTTCAGCTTCAAAACTTATCGCTCGCTATCCCTCGCATTGTGTCTTGGGCTTTAGGTTTTTTCATCATGATGGTTGTCTGCTAATACATCATAACCTTTTCCAAAAATGTCACGACTATTGAACAGGTTACTGTTCGATAGACTTATTTATCTTTTACCTAAAAGCGGTAAAAGATTCGCCGGTCATAGCAAATGGCAGAATATAAAGCACATAAAGGAAGAAAATGATAACAAACGGATGGTGCAGTTCTATAGTCTAAAGCTGCAAATGAAAGTTGCAATACTTGGTAATGTAATTTTTATTATGACAGTTGTATAGTTTATTAAAATAAAATCCTATATATAGGTACGAAATATACTAAATAAATTTTTCTTGCGTGATTAATAACTGCACTTAAATATATAAGTATTATAATAAGTAATATATACATATAAGTATTATATGTATATATACATATATTTGCTAGGTGCATTTAATTTTATTGCGACAAATAGTGACACAGGCACATAAAACATTTTTTTTTTATCTGAAGAGTGAACTATAATATTTTTATGCATTTTGATGCTGTAAAATCGAATTCAATGTTCATTCATAATTAAACTTATTTTTTCTCATTTACCTCAAGTTGTATACTAAAAACTAGATCATAAATGGTTCTAAAAATAATAGAAAATTAAACTATTTTCCAGTGATAAAAAAATTGTGATAGAACAATTTAGGTATTGGATTCGATTTCAAAGCATCAAAATACATAAGAATACCATGGTCTTTAGATCAACTTTTGTTTTGTATACTTATATAATTTTAGTTGCATTAGTATGTGATTGTGAAAAAAAGTTGTCTTCTTTTTTCAGAAGGTGGTACTACAAACCCAAATAATAATTTAAAATTATCAAAAATCATTGAACGAGCTAAAAAGGTAAACATGCCTGTGGCATCAATAAAGTCTTTCCTTGATAAAATGGAAACACGGAAAAACAAGACTCAGGCAGGTGTAATAGAAGTTCGTGGGCCAAGTGGTTATACCATGGTTGTATCTTATATGACAGATAATCCCAAGGCATTTCTAATAGAGTTTAATTCAAAACTTAAAAAAACCAAGTATGAACAATATGTATATTTCTACTTCTAAGCACATACTTATATTTGACATATGTTATACAAAGTATTATTAAGCTTGTTTTTCTTAACTGAATTCCTTGTACCATCTATCTTTTGTTTTTTTCTTCAACATAAAGAGGAAAAGAGGAAAAGTGAACTGTGCAAGAAGTTTAGCTGAAAAAAAGAGGTCTAATGTTTCAAAGTATATTTAGAAACAAAATTTTATTTTATTATTCAAGTTAGTTAAAGTGTTAAGGTTATTCTATAATATGCTCTTTGTTTTCTGTACCTTGCTTTTTTCCTCTGTGATTATTTCATTGATGATTGTATTTCTTTATATATGTTTCTTTGCTATGTGTGTTTCCTGTTTCTTCCAAAGTTCGTTAACTTTTATCTTGAGCGACAGAAAATGAAAAAGAGGATAAGAAACAAAAAAATAAGATATAAAAGAATAGCAAGAGAGAGAGAAGCTTTACATATTTATATTTTGGAAAAAACATTTTTAGAAAAAGAAGTTTCATACAAAAGTTGTATGATTTGAAGAACATAAAGAGAATACCATTGGATTGACCTTGCAAAGTTGTTTGAAAATTACATAAAAGTCATAAATTTCTCAAATGGAACCACATATGTATATCTCATTGTATATTCTTATAGTTTACTTCAAGAATTTTTTTCAAAATCCTATAAGATTTTTTAATTTTAGAGTTATAAGGCTTAAAAGTTATAGTGCCGCTAGTATTAACATTACCAAAAGTGTTGGTCAATGGCTAAAACCTATTGAATGTTGTTCCAGATCATGATCTAGATAATATTTATCAAGATTAGGGCCATTGGAGATTGTTCGTCTTATTTCCATTTTTACACTAACAATTCATTTTTATGTAAATATCTGTTTAAGAAAATAATGACCTTTATGTGATCTTTAAATAACTCTCCAAGGTCAAATCAATGAAGTTACTTTACGTCCCTTCAAATCATATAACTTTTATATGGAACATTTTTCTCTAAAACGCTTTGTTCCCAATATAAATCTGTACTATATTTTAACTAATTCACCTGTATAATAATCTGTGTTCAGTATATATTGTAGTACTTTTACATACAATTATAAGAACCATGAATATTCCAAAATGTATATCTCTCATATTTGTTTTTTAATTGTATATATAGAGGGAAAGCTACAGATTCGTTTGCCAAAAATATGTTTATTCATATAGGCAGTATCAAAGTTGAAAAGAAAGGTAATTTGGAACAAGCTATGGAGGATGCTATTAATATCGGTGCAGAAGATGTAGAGGAATTCAAAGAGAATGATATGGAATGTTTCCAGGTATTTCAATAAAAACTTACTTTCTAAAAAATTATAAATTTTTTTACTATAAATGTAGGGGAGAGTGGTCTAAATCGGACTTATTATTAGTTTTTGTTCTCTATAAGGCGTAAATAAAGTCCGATCATAAAACCAATGGTGCCGTTCGAAAGATCGTTGAATTTCCTTCATATTTGCTTGGGATCATTTTGACGTACCTCTTACCGGTGTCGAACTATAATGGAAAATGTAAAAATGCATTTTCCGATCCAATTTGGAAAACTATGAGTTCCAAATCGAACCTCTCCTATTTTTATGGACTTTTAGGTAGAATTTTAAAATATTTTAATTAATTTTTGTTAGTATTGAGTAAAAACGAGCAATTTAAGACTCAAAGATAAAAATACAGTTTATATTATTAGAATTAAAATAAATAAAAGATTCCATCAATCTGAGTCTGATGACATGATATTTTATTGATTTAGCATCCCTTAGACCAGATCTGATCGGTTGATCACCAGTACTACAACCAGGTTGTGGCAAACCTTCTTTTCTCGATGAATTAGCTGGCTTATTCGTCTTTTTAGTGTTTTTGTATAGGTCCGATTTGGACACGGATTTTTTCGAATAAATGGAACAAATTTCACAATAAACCGCGAAAGTAATCACAAAACTCTCGATATTTTTGAATTCTGCACTCTTTAATTATTTTCAATCAATTACCGTTCAAATTTTTAACATGTTTTAAATAATAATTTACAAGGATTTTCTTTTTTAAAAAAATTTTCACATGATAGCCGAAAAAATACATATTTCCGTCTATTCTATGAATATTATGACAGAGTACTGCCAAACTGCTATCACATATTCGGTGTTTTAAAAAGACTTTACATTATAAATGGTACGCAAATCTGCTCAACCGTGTTTATTTAAAAAGGTTTGATTTAAAACACGGCCCGATTTAGGACATTCTCTCCTATATATAGTGAAGAACATATTATTTGTACATGCATATAGAAAAAAATTACAATTTATACATGTTCGCTAATATTTTCTTTGTTACAGTTCAAATGTGATCCGAAGTTTTTAAACAAAATAAAATGTCTTTTAGAAGATCTTCAATACTATGTACTTTCAATAGAAGAAGATTATATATCGCCAACTGTAATAGAATTAAATGAATCAGATTTGGAAGCTGTTTCTTTAATCCATAAGAAAATTTTGAGTTTAGAAGATGTCACTAAGATACATGATAATTTAGCATAAATATATATGTATATATATTTTTTAAATATATATATAGGGGAGAATGTCTCCTAAATCGGACCGTGTTCCAAATCGGACCTTTTTAATTTAAATAAATACGATTGAGCAGATTTGTGTGCGTATCATTTATAATGTAAAGTCCTTATAAGACACCGAACATATGATAGCAGTTTGGCAGTACTCTGTCATAATATTCATAGAATAGACGCAAATATGTATTTCTTCGGCTATCATGTGAAAATTTTTTTTAAAAAAGAAAATCCTTGTAAATTATTATTTAAAACATGTTAAAAATTTGAACGGTAATTGATTGAAAATAATTAAAGAGTGCAGAATTCAAAAATATCAAGAGTTTTGTGATTACTTTCGCGGTTTATTGTAAAATTTGTTCCATTCATTCGAAAAAATCCATGTCCAAATCGGACCTATACAAAAAAATACAAAAAGACAAGTAGCCAGCTAATTCATCGAGAAAAGTAGGTTCGCCACAATCTGGTTGTAGTACTGGTGATCGACCAAATCTGGTCTAAAGGACGCTAAATCAATAAAATATCATGTCATTAGATTCATTGTCAGATTGATGGAATTTTTTATTGATTTTAATTCTAAAAATATAAACTGTATTTTTATTTTTTAGTCTTAAATTGCTCGTTTTTACTCAATATACTAACAAAAATTAAAATATTTTAAAATTCTATCTAAAAATCCATAAAAATAGGAGAGGTTCGATTTGGAACTCATAGTTTTCTAAATCGGACCGAAAAATGCATTTTTACATTTTTCATTATAGTTTGACACAGGTAAGAGACGTCAAAATGGTCTGAAGCAAAAATGAAGGAAATTAAATAATCTTTCGAACCGCACCATTGATTTTATGATCGGACTTTATTTATGCCTTATAGAGAACAAAAACTTTAAATAGGTTTGATTTGGATCATTCTTCTCTATAATAAAAAAGGAATCAATCATAATTATATATTTTATATGTAATTATAATCAAAGAACTGTTTAAAAACACTTTATGTACACTGCTCAATAAAAAATAGGGGACACTTTCGAACATGCTAAAAATTGGACAATATTCTAAACGCCATAACTGGGTGAAAAATTATCGATAAAGAATTAAAAAAGAATTGTAAAGGTTGAAACCTCTACTTACGAAATCGGAAATTGTTATTTCAATCCGACTGATCCTTTACGAAATTATAAGGACACAAATCGATATCCTTCAAATCTGAAAATTTTGCACAAGATCCATGGCATGAGGTAAAAATTACACGAAAATGTGGTTTACAGTAATCGAAAAAGTGAATTTTTACTTTCAATTTACTTTTTGTAATGAACGTTGTACGACTTTTTTTTCACTATTTGTGCAAAATTTTCAGATTTAAAAAAAATATTCATTTGTGTCCGTATAACTCTATAAAGAATCAGTCATATTGAAATTTTAAATACAGATTTTGTAGATAGGGATTTCAACCTTTAAAATGCATTTTTATTATAATATTTTGTCTGCGAAATGATTTTTCACCGAGTTTCGGTGTTCTGGATATTGCCCAATTTTTAGCGTGTTTAAAAGTGTTTTCTATCTTTTGTTGAGTAGTATATATACACAGACACACACACACACACACACACAAATATATTTTGTATATTATATATTTTAAAAAATTTGAACAGAAAAATATAAAATATATTTCAACAAGTTGTTTCAAAATGTAAGAACGTATTTTTATCTAAAAAAGTCATTTTATTGAAATCACACATTATCAATCAAATAAATACAGAGCTGTAAATAAATTCAAAATTTTATTTTATAATTAAAAGTAATTATATCAAACACACTTTAAAAAAAATTGTTTATGAAATATTTAATTTTCTATTATTTAAAATCATTCTATACTAATTACAGTACATAATTTTATTTAAATATATATATGCACCATTTAATTTCAAACGTATAAGTTGCTTATTTAAAAAATTATCCATTTTGTCTATACATATATACAAGGTAAGACATCTAAATAATTTGTTTGTTTTTGATTATACAAAAAATTACCAGAATTACTCCATTTATCACTCATATTCAACATCTGTACCATATCCCTTTATATTGTGAATATTAGAACCTGGAAATTCTAATATTGCATTGTTATGGAAAAATGTTATTAGCATTTTTTTAGACATTCTTGCTTTTACACTCCATGGACTATTGATTATACTGTCAATAGCATCGATCATTTTTCCCTTTTTTAAAGGTGTATCGGTAAATTCTGACTTTTCTATGTTGTCCTGTTTTGTAACATTTAAATCTACTACTTTTTCGTTAGGATTGGAAGAATCTTCTATGACAAATACATTCTTATCTTTTAATTTTTTGCTTTTTTTATCCTTTTTTGCTAATTTTTTGGTATTTGAATCTTCTTCTATGTCAGCGTTTTCCTTATTAGAGATTTTCTTCTCTATATTACATAACTTAATTTCATTCGAACACTCGTCTTCGTTGATGCTTTTTCTTTTTTTCTTCTTTTGTTTAATTTTTTCTAATGGTTTTCCTTCTTCTTTAATCTCAGGAACTGTGCACTGCAATGTTTCAATCATGACTACATCCTCGTTTTCACTCTTATAATTATTTTGGTATTTTGATTTATCCAATATTTTGTTATCTTGTTGATCATTGTTTATTTCAGTTTGAATATGCTTTTCATTCTTGTAATTTTCTTTATCTTTTTTCTTTTTCTTTTTACATTTCTTAGGGATTATTCCTCCTGTTTCTTCTTCTTCTTTATCATCTTTAGTATTCGGGATCTTTTTATTGCTAATTATTTCTATAATTTCAATATCTGGTTCTTCGTTTATGGTACTAAGTACTGTAGTATCTTCAACTTTGGCTCTTTTCTTTTTTTTGTCTTTCTTCTTTTTTTTCTTCGATTTTTGTTCCATATTGTCTATTTCCCCATTTTTAATAATACTAGAATCTAAAGTGTTTTCTGATTCTATAATAATTTCAACTTCTTTTTCTGGTGACTCTTGTATTGTTTCCAGATTAGATGTTTTAGTTATCCTCCTCTTCTTGATTTTTTTATTTTTATGTTCGTTTAACTCATTATCATTAATTTCTTCGAATAATATTTGTACATCTAATGCTTCATTAACAAATCCGTTCATTGTGGAAATCGCAATGCTCTCATGTTTTCGTTTCTTTCTGTTCTTCTTACTTTCAACTTCAAATTTATCCAATGTGGCTTCTTTTTTCTTTTTCTTCTTATTAGAATTTATATTATAGTTGTACAACATGACATGATCGTTAAATGTTACACGTTTCTTGTTTTTTTCGTCTGTCAGATCCAAACCACAATTTTCAAGGCCAAACTGTGCTCTAGATATTTCAAATTCGTTGCCATTACAGTCTTTCTCAGACTTCGTATCTAGATTAAGAGCTGGATTAATAAAACCATTTTTATAAGCACTACCAATAGCTTCAGTTTTTAATTTTTTTCTGGTATTATTTTTATCTATTTCAGTGATGTGCAAATTATCACCTTCAAAATCCTTCTTTCTTTTCTTTATAGACTTTATAGAAGAATTATTGGTGCTACAAGCAATTTCTACAGAACTATTCAATCCTAAGCAAGGATTATCAAAAGCGTAATTGCTCTTATCATCAGAATCTTTTAACGCTCCAGAACTAAACATTGATGTATCTTCTATTTTTGGTGTAAACCCGAATCCAATGTGTTGGTCATTTTCACTTTCAGAATCAGTTGTTCGATTATCAGTTACATTACTTGGTAAGTTTGTATCATTTTTTGGCTTTACATTATATTTCAGGTAATTTGTCATATTATTACAATTTGACTTAAGTTTGAAGTAGTCAAACATGTTACCGCCATTAATTGTGGTAACTCCATACCAATTGTCTCTGACGTCAGTTTCTTCACGAATATTATCATTTTTTTCTATCATGACTTGAGTTTTCTCAACTAATGCTTTTTGGCCAAATATATTTGCCAAATCTTTTGATTTATATCTATTTACATCTTTGCCACGCGTAAACTTCTTGTAACTGCAAATAAATTAAAATATTTTTAAAATTATATAATAAGAAACATTTATTAGTATTTTCATAAAAAAATTTCTTGATATTCATATATTTATACAAATATTTAAACACATCACAAAAATTACTTAGAACTTTGTCTAAATTTGAGTGTATATATACATCTTATATTTATATACATTATGTTTGTAGAAATTAGAAAATAATATGCTTACTGTACACGAGCATGACTTTGCTTAGATTTCAGTTCAGTAGACTGTTCATTGATATTAGCATCCGCGTTTACTGATTTTTCAACAGTGTCTGGATCTTGATTTCTGCTAAGTTGCTGCAAAATGTCTTCAAAATTCTTCTGGTGTTCAATCCATGGCTCAAAATTTTTGTCATATCCTATACCTTGAAAAGAAATTAAGGAGATGCTATTAATAATAAGGAAAAAAATAATTTTTATTCTGCGAAACTATTATGAAGAAATTAGACAGGAACGAAAACGTCAAAAACGCCTAATTTCATCGATAACACAGGCAGGTCCAGCATCACTTTAAGATTCTGATTAAACATTTACACACTGTTGTTAACAGTGTCGTGTACATTTAAATTACAAAAATTAAATTCAAAATTTCATGATATTACATTAAATTTACATTAAATTGATATCTATAATTGAAAAGTACATTTGTATACACATGTATATATGAAATTGAGGCTGTAGTCAAAGTATCACTACAAATGCCTTGAAACGTTTGATTAACTAATTTAAAAAAAAGAATTTTACAAATTGTGATTAATCAAAAACTGCTTTAGAACATTTATAGTATCACATTGAGATATGTTCTGATTTTTATCTGGATGCTCCTCAGGTATCTTGTCATTCTTGTTTAACAAATACTTGTTCAATAAACAAAATAAAAAAATATCATGACATCTGGAGAATATCTAGGTGGAAATCCGAATATGTCCCTGATTGTATCCTTAGTATGTTTTTCATAAAATTTTATGAAATTTAGAGTACTTTCTATTAAATTCTACATGGATTTGCATAAAATTTAATACATGTGAAAATTATATTTAAGTTACTTGTAACTTAATTTTCATTAGCAACATTAAATATTTTTAATATACCTGTTCAAAATTTACTTTTGTTACATGTAACAGAAATTCCTTTTTTTGATAATTGTTGAGTTTAGGGTCCTTATCTCTGATTTTGATAAAATTAGTCTCATTTGATACATTTTTGGACGAAATGAACAAATCTGGCAAAAAATATGTTCTGTTCTGCAACCGAAGTATTTAATTATTAAAGTTGACGGAAATTCAAGTTAAGAAATCTGTCATATTGATAACACAGAGGGTTATATAACAAAAATTCTTTAAAAACACAAATTATTTTCTATATAATTTTTATTTTTACAGTAGAGAATTTGTGTTTTTAAAGCAAACAAATAATACCTAAAACAAATTCTCTGCTGTAAAAATAAATATTATATAAAATCAACAGAAGCGTGTATCAATTGAGAGTGTGACTGAAATATCCTTCTCAGTCATATACTTTATAGAAAATAATGTATTTTTACAGCAACTAAACTTTAACAATTACCTTTTTCTCTTTAACAATAATATAAATGAACACATTTCTATTCTGGGTCTATCTTGAAGCAGATCCAATCAGACCTGGGTATCTTTGGGTTAAGATAGTAGAACTTGTGGATCATAGAACAAGAAATTAATGGAATCCATTTGTCTTGAGCTGTCGTTTGACAAGGGAGCTTTACAGATAAATTCTGAGTGGACTTAAATGATTCTCAACCACTCTGACGATAAGTAATAGAACAGAACCAAGTATTCATCTTGACAATCCCCTATATGACTTTTGTCCAAAGGTTCATTTAAAGCAACTCTGACAGCTCCGGAGAGACAAAATAAACAATACTAGTGTAACATTTATGAAATAATTAGCTTCTATATGAAATTTTTAAATGTTTTAGTTACCTGTTGTATCATTCTTGAATATAGTACTGGAAAATTCTGGAATGCCTTGTTCGTGAATGCCAAGTCCTTTTCCTTTCGTCCAACCCATCTTCTCCATCATCCTCTGGCCATATTTTTTGGAGTCTATTAATAAAGTTGGCGACATATTAATGAATGAAATACAAATCAAAATCATAGATTTGTATGTAATGGATACAATATTCAGACATGTAATAATAATTTATAAATCATCAGAGAAATAAACTCTTTATATTCATAGTTTTTATATAACTTGAAATCTATATCTATATGAAGGTATATCTTCACCTTCAGTCCACAACTTCCCCCGTGGATTAAGGGTCCACTTTTGCTTTTGACGGCGCTCCGCAAGCATGGACATGCTTTCTGATTTAACTATCAATTTAGTCCCTTTATACAGATAGTGAAAAAAACCTCACTCTTTTTTTCTTTATAACATTAGCTCCAAAAGCTTTTCCTCCGATATAACAAATTTACATTGAAAGTATCGGCTTTAAGTTCGCGATGAGATGAGGTTGTTTCGTGGTTATTTCAGATCACTTCAAATTTAAATCACAGCTTCTTCCTTTTCTTCCTCTTAACAGGTTCCTGTTTAGATATTTATTTAAAATACAGTCCTCTCGCCTCCGATTTTAATAAAATTAAACTCATTCGACGCGTTTTTTGCATAAAACGAAAGAAGAAAACGTCAAGTTAGACCCACGAAACGAGATATTAGCATCAAAGTTCATCTATTTTGATAGATTAGATTGGCCCCGACCCCGACTGCTAACCGAATCGATAAAGGCCCGTTCTACAATAAAATCGGGAGCCGTTGTCGTATGTCGTGCCGTAAGAAATTGGCCAATCATGGTCGATTGTTTTCAACTGTGATTGGCCAATTTCTTACGGCACGATATTCGGCGCCGACATACGACGAATTGTAAAAACAGGCATAAAGCCCGGATCTACAATAGAATTTTAAGCCATAAGGAATGGACGAATCATGGTCGAGTATTCTCCTCGAATTCGACTGTAATTGGTTAATTTCTTACAGCTTAGGGCTTAAAACACGTATTGTAGATCCGGGGTAAAGCCTGTTACCGCCCATTGTGAAATTGACTTAACGTTTGCATCTAAATGTATGTACCTTAGGCCCGATTTTTCATTATCTGGTTAAGCTTAACCACAAGTTAACCAGATAATGAAAAATCGGGCCTAAAATAACAAGAAAAAGGCCGGTAATGTTCTCAGATTTCTCTCTGACAAGGCTATGTTCGAAAATTGACTGCCTTTCCTGAAAATCTGTAATGCACGTAACGTAAACTGTAGCGTTTTTAATACTGACAGTAAATTTGGAACACAACAGCATTTCTCTTGTGAAATAAGGGTTGGATTATACTGGCCGTAATCTGTTAACTTATGCCGTAATCTGTAAAAATTGACCAATTATAATCGATTATTCCCCTCTCATTCGACTGTGATTGGTCAATTTTTACAGATTACGGCATAAGTTAACAGTTTACGGCCAGTATAAATCAACCTTAAGAGCCCAAACACAAGCTTTTGCATAATGCATAACGCATATAGTGCATAAAAGAATCAGCCAATCAAAGTTCTTCTTTTCCGTGAAGTGGATGGAAAGGAGGGATTCAGATTGATTCTCTTATGCACTATGCATTATGCGTTATGCAAAAGTCTGTGCTCCCCGCTTAATACAAACTGTGATAAATACTCTTTTATCACCGTATCGTCGTTGAGTGATGAGATCGTTCGCTACCGTCGCCATATTTGTCTCTGATTGGAGTAGCAGAGAATTCTGTTGCGCATTGCGTCATCTCGCGACCTATCCGAATGGACGTATCGATACCGACAATTGCCGAAGGGCAACGTCACATGGTAGTTCTGTGTGTCACTATCCGTGCCGACTGACGAGTGACGTATCGACCAAGTGTCAGGGCTACGTTGGATCACCATTCGATCACGTTGGATAAGGATTGAGCAAGGTGGTTCGAGGATTTAACGAGAGGTACGAGAATAAGTACGAGCGTTGAATGCAGGTAAAAGACGCGCGAATGAGGGCCACGTGGACGAATCTCTCGTATATCGCGATAATACATCTGACGTTCCTCGTGTGTGTGTAGTACATCGGTGTGATTATGCACGTTATTTTCGTCGAAATTCGCCCCGGCTACGCTCCATTTCGCTCTTTTTCTCCTCCTTTCCACGCATATTTATATACATCCAAGTATGAGCGCGATTGAAATGGAACGCAACACGAAGCTGCAAATGGACAGATTGGCATGCCACGCGTTGCGAGAGCAGAGCGAAAGAACGTCTCAGAGAGAAAGAACATCTGACGGTATACTTATGTATCGTTCAATTCCAAATTTTGTTCCGTGCTGAAGGTGAACGAGCGCCGTTCACATCGTTGTTCGAACATTTAAATTCGTCATTCGGTGCAATCGCCGAGGAACTTATCACGTATACTGAAAACATTGACCCTGAGAGAGCGCGCTAATTGCATGCTTCTCTCTCCTCTTCCCTTTCTTTTGCACAATCCTACTCTTTTTTTTTTTTTTCTTTATTCTGGTGACTGCAGTTCTACGCATCCAATTCCACCGCGATCGGAGATAAACAAGTCGACGGGCAATTTTACGTCCGTATTATTGTATATCGCGCTACGATTTCACATTTCACGCGCAATTCCGCGATTAAAACGGAGGCGAGGAACCACGACGAGAGGAAAGGGAGAAAGAGATATGTATCCGTTTGAATTTCTCGACGACGGTGTCACGGGGACCGAAGCCGACGGGATCCCGGTGAGTAGCGATGTCGACAGACGACGAAGAAAGAATCGCGAGGATGCCGTCCGCGGGGCAGCGTCGCATTTACGGCGTATAAATTTGTCGAGAAATGATATGTGAACGACGTTTTTTCGTTACACGCGACAATAATGTATGTCGGGGCTCGATGTTTTTCGTTCATATACGTGCACGAGACGGAGCACCGTGTATTGCGCACGAACGCTCTCGCGGCCGATGATGTCAGATTTATATAAGAGTTTAATGTTATCAATGCGCGCGGAAACGATCGTAACGCTATAACGATGCGAGTGAAACGAGGGGGTTAACCACTGTCTGAAATATTGTCCCACAGATTTTCACGATTTCATTTAATTTTATATAATTTTATCCGACGACAAATAACTTTTCCTCACTATATATGCGGTCGTTTGGTAAGATAAATGATTTTATCTAATATCACACAATTATTTCGTGTAATTGTCGGATTATATATATCGAAATTTTTTATATAAATTTTATAATGATTTCAGGAACTCCGTCCCACGATTACATTAAGTGATTATACCCCCTCGGAGTGAAATCATTTTTTCAACATGCGTTTATTGAACAATGCTCCGCGTTCGTTATCGTCAGATTCGTTTCCACCAATGCGGATTAACTTTAATCTCGGTTTAACTTACCGTTAATCTTTTTCTAATTTTTAGAATTAGAGAAAGACGAAGAGCAAATTGAACCGTGATTAAAGTTAATCTGCATTGACGGAAATGGGCATAAGTGTGTTAAGCGAGATATTCTCGAAAATCTGTTTTTTTATTTTTGTGGTGTTATACTATTCGATGATGAAATTGGAAGTATTTTAAGTTTCATGTCACGTATCAGTTGACAAATTATGATATGTTCCGTACAATGAGATTACAGTTTACGCTGAGAAAAAAAAATAGGTGACTCAACTAAATTGGCGGTCACGGGCTGTCAAGCGAATATTTTGTTTAGCCAAAATATTAATGTATTTGAGTCAAATACGCAGTATTGAACACATGACTTATTTATTTCGGCAGGACGTATCTTTGAATTAACAAATATTTGCTTGACAGCCCGTGACCGCCGCATTTAGTTCAGTCAACTACTTTTTTTTTCTCAGTGTATAGAAATGTACAAAATATCATTGCAATGCGACAGTAAAATAGGTTTAAATTGTGCGATATATTTCAAGGATTTCATTACATGAATTTTCTACATATTGTTTATGTTAAGTTTTCACAAATGGTTTTTGTTTTTAATGTGTACACAAGCAATGCAAAGTGTAAATTTTATAACTGTTAATATATCTGACTTGATAAATAAAAATTTGCATAAGTATATAAATGATCGAGATAGAAGCTTTAATGCAGTTTAATGCAACGACACAAAGAACTTGCACCGGCTTCGATGATTCAAAGATCGTTTACATAGATGACACGTGAGACGTAGTTTACATTGTATTGTACACGCGTAGATAATTATGAGAGTAGAATTCTGTTGCTGCAGCTAAGGGTTGATTTATACTGGTCATGATCTGTAAATATTGACCAATCGCAGTCGAATGAGAGAGGAATAATCGATTATAATTGATCAATTTTTACAGATTACGGCCAGTATAATCCAACCCTAACTTCGAATCCAAAAATGACAGGTTTTGACAAGCCGCAGTCGGCGCAACGCGGCGTGTCACGTCACGTCACATGAAATCCGTTCGCGGTTTTCGAGTCGAGCCTGTCTCGTGTGACGTACGCGAAGGTGTCAGGGCTGCAGGTTTCTCAATAGCGATCTCAAGGCCTTATTGAGTAAATACGGAGCACATTGGTGTTACGCGGCGACGCAGACGGCGGACACCGGACGTTAAAACACCGATATCAATATTTGTCAAGCATCTACTTCTAAGATCGGAATCAAACTACGCATTAAAGATTGAGATTAGAGATTGAAAGATTGAAATTTGACCAATCAAAATAATAGGAGTTAAGATTCTTTTATCGTCATTGGTCAAATTTCAATTTATCAATCTTCAATCTCAATCATCAATGCGTAGTCTGATTCCAGCCTAAAGCAAATCGTGATTGGTGTGACGCAGTTGAAAACAATTGCGATTTGCCATACAGGTGGTTTAGTTGCAGCTGGAGAAAAGATATCGTAGTTGAAAGTTTATGAAACGTTCTCGTGGAGCAAAAAATCAATTCAATTTCCAAAACAAAAGATGTCATTTTTGTCATGCAGTGTATTATCGTGCAGGTTAAAAGCTGTTATTTACATTTAAATTCGAAGTTCATTTTATATGTTTAAGAAATGAAAGAGAATGATTATCTTTACTATACTTTTCTCATTTCAGTTTGTAAAATTTAACTTTTTTTTTTTTTTGAGCATTCGATAATTTACCAAACTAACGACTTGTTTTTGCTCTGTGTGTTGATTTAGATGCCGAAAAATAAGGAAAATAACAAACGGAAGAAGCAAGTGGATGATGAGGGCGATGAGGATTATCGAAAACGGCGGGATCGGAATAACCAGGTAATCTATCAGTTTTGCATGTAAATTATTCACGTTATTTGCATATATGTATACTATTATCATGTTCCCATGTTTCACAGGCTGTGAAACGATCGAGAGTGAAGAGTAAATTACGCACGCAACAAACCTTGGAACGAGTAAATCAATTGAAAACGGAAAACGAATTGTTGGAGGAGAAAATTAAAATGCTTACCAAGGAACTTGGATTTCTCAAGGATCTTTTTATTGCACATGCAGGTATATCGTTAGGACAAATTATTATCAAATTGTTAAATCTTTAGACATATATATCTTACAAACAGTTTGTAAATTAATATATAATTTCTACGACTGTCTTGTGTCTTATCTTTGATCTCTGTTATATGTATGTATTGTATACTAGAACAACACTTACGTTATTTGTTAAAAAAATTTAGTAAAAAAATATTAGTCAAGTGTACGTCACAGTTTTTATTTTGCTTTTAGGCGGTTCCAGTCAACACTCCATAAACATCCAAGATCTAGATTTGAATTCTCTGCTGGCGGAAGAAAAACAGGCGGAAGAATCATCGGTTATAAAAACGTCAGTTATTAAGTCGAGTACCAAGCCGTAAACCTGCACAAGCTCCACGTGAGAAGAAATCAGCGTGGTATTAAATTTGAAACGCGAGACAGCATTCTGACTCGCTCGATCAAAACACAAAGCAAGTGGACATCTTGGAAAGATGTCCACTTTGAATTCATTGAAAACGATTCTGGATGCGAAGAGCGTTTCCCTAAAGCGGATTTTCCAAGTTGCAGTGCATCGTCAGTGAATTATCATCAGCTAAATTTACAACTTACTCAAAACTGGAGGCGAAAAGTAATGGAACTGTCGCATACAACTCGCGATAAATTTGAGTACAAAAGTATTCATTTTAATTGTTAATCAATGGAGAAAAAGTAATTTAAACGATACAACAAAAATACCACCAATATGTATGTACGTGTTGAAAATAAGAGCATTATACGCGATCGTATCTTGTGCTGTATTCGCGCGAGAAGTGGCTTTTATTGTGAAATGTTATTTATCTATTAGATCAGTACAAAAGTTCATGCCCGATTTATCATTTAAAATTAATGATAAATCGGTCACGAACTTTTGTACTGATCTAAATATAAAAGTAAGAAAGAGAATCTTCTTTTAAACATTTGTATATGTATATAACTTTGTATGTGTGTTTGTATGTGCATAGATATATATGTTTGTTGTGCATGACGAATAATGAATTATTGATTATTAAAATGTTTATTTTATTGATTATAATATACAAATATTATATATATATATATATATTATACGAATATAATAGTTTTATCAGAAACTAGTATATTAATCTTTGTAGTTATCGAAAATATTTTTACTTTTGTAGGAACGTTGTCGACGTGTGTCAAACTATTATTAAAATAGATCGATTTAGCGACAATATTGATAGTTTTTTTCTCTTGATACAAACAGCATTTAAATGCGCAATGATCTGAAAATATTCATTTGAATTATCGAAAGCGAAGACAATTGTTTGCACTATTGATGCGCAAGCGTGTTGCGAGAAATTGTGTGAAATAAAATCTTTTTCTTCTGATTATCAGTACCTATTAGTATTACATGGAAGAATTTGAAGAAAAAATTAACTGAATTTTTACTAGCAATCAGATTCTTTTAATAATATTTTACTAATAACATACTACATTCGAGCAATGTAAATGAAACAACTAGAAAGTTATCATTAATTTGAGATTTGGTTTTAACATCATATTAGAAATGCATGAATTTTTATTTTATATGCTGAAAGATATATTTTGACGTGAAGAAAACAACGTATGCGATTAAATTGCCAGTGGTTGGCAAACACCCGGAGGGTCGTCGACGGCACCTGTATGCTTCGTTACTCCCATCCGGAAAGACCCGATCGATTCTTCGTCGGTGTTCGTAAAATGCACGATCGTCATACCGATCAAACGAACCCCGAAGATATATAAATTTTGTATTCCTGGAGAACAGTTTTCACATTTTCCCCTCTCATAAAAAAAATTGATGTAGATTCTTTTTAGAGAAAGAAAGAGAGAGAGTATCAGAGGGAACGTTAATCTTATTTCTCAGGACTTTCGTGAAGTGAGGGATAATTGATAATAATTGATAAAAACATGGAGGTAACGTTATAGGATTTCAAGATTTTTATTTACTCTTATAAGTGATGCTTTTGAAAAAAAAATCAAGCAGCGGGAAATTCAGCGCGAAGTAACGTGCTAAAAATTCTTTAAAAAAAAAAAAAACATAAAAACGTATACATAAACACCGGATAATTCCGGCACACGGAACAGTACGGAAAGGGCACGTCGAATTCCGCGCACATGCCTGAGCCGTCTGTAGCACGGTCGCACGGTGGGCCGTCGCGCGCTGGTGGTCTAGCAGACGACATGTTGGCTGCCAGGAGCACCTCGCCTCGAACGTTTCGGCTGCGAGTTTCTTCGAGGATATTTCAGTTGATTTGAGTGAGAGGAGGAGACGAGCGCGGATTCGGCGAGGAAGCGCTGGTGGCGAGAGAAAGATCTTCTCCGCGAGCGAGTTACTCTTCAAAGTAAGAGTGCATGTGAGATAAGGACAGCGCGAGGGAAGGTATACGCGAGGGTGCGGATTCCCCGTGTATGTCGTGATCGTCGACGAGGAGTCGGTGGCATATAGGGGAGGCTGGAATAGAGGAGAAGCGGAAGAAGCGGGGGTGACTCTCGGTGACTACCGTGACGGGAAAAAAATTGGGACGCGCGTTCTCGGAAAGGAGAAAAAAAAAAAAAAAAAAATACTATACTAAGGGCCGAGTCTTATGAGAAAAGATCCGCCGAGGACGAGATCTATGGGAGAGTGAGGAGGAGGAAAAGCGCAAAGAGGAAAATCACCGAACCGCGGCAAAAGGTTTTCCCCTTTTTCAGCCAATTTTATCGCCCGGCGATCAGGTCTGCGTCGACTTGCTCTCGCCTGCCGTTCGAATTCGGAGTCAGAGTCTATTTCAACGTCTCCGTCGGCGGAATAAAGCGATCTGATTCGCGTCGAGGAAGCGAGACGAAACGAAAGCGAGGTCGTGCGTATTACGGTGGAACACGCGCCGTGTCCCTCGGCTAACAAATCGGATTCGCGTGTACATATCTGTCTCGTTCTCGCTCCTTCCGTCTCTCCTCCTCCCCCCCCTCCCCCCTCCCTCTCTCGCTCTCCTCCTGTCGTCCCTGTCTCTCGCGCCGGCCGTATCGCCGGAGACGTCGCGGCGAGGCAGAAGAGGGAGAGGGAGAGAGAGAGAGAGAGAGACCGCGCTTCTCGCGCGACTAACAACCAACGAATAAAGACTATAAAGACAGAGAGAGAGAGAGCGCGTGTCCCGCGTGGTTTTCCTATGTGCGGGCGTGCGTGTTGCGGGAGCTGAGCCTGAAGCAACCTCTCCACGTGAACGGAGCACAGATTCGCGCCGCGGTGTAGCTCCCGGACGTCTCCGTCATCGTCATTACACTCTCGACTCCACCAATCGCCGCCGGTAGCGAGTGTTGTCACGCGCGTTCGCTCCTGTGTGCTCCGAACAGCTAACGCCCGGAGGCCCACCATTGCCGTCGACATCGTCGCCGCAGTCGTCGACACCCCGCCGACCGAGACGTTCGTTCCCCCTCCCTCCCTCGCTCGCGCGCGCTCTCTCTCTCTCTCTCTCTCTCTCGCTCTCGCTCTCGCTCGCTTCGACGTGAGCGAGCAAGAGAAGGCGATCGGCGCGCAACACCGCGAGAGGGAGGGAGAGAGAGTGAGCGCGACACACAAGGCTCTCTCACAATCAGTCTCGCCCGGCGCGGAGCGGAGCCGAACAGCGGAGTGTGCTCGCGGGGTTTATGGTGCGCGTGATGGTTATGGTTCTACGGTCAGCGGGGGCCGTCAGTGATAGATGCCGTCGGGGGTGCTCGTGAGTGCCGCCACCGCTGTCACCCTCACCGCGCCGAGAGATATACGCGTGTGTTAACACGTCAGAAGTGACAGACGGACAAACGCCGGAGCGATCGTTTTCATCGCTGCCGCTATCACCGTCCCTGCCACTGTCGTCGTCGTCGTCGTCGTCGTCGTCGTCGCCGCCGTCGTCGTCGCCGCCGTCGTCGTCGTCGTCGTCGTCGTCGTCGTCGTCGTCGTCGTCGTCGTCGTCGTCGTCGTCGTCGTCGTCGTCACCAACATCATCGTAAACAATTGGATAGAAAGAAAATCGAAGAGAAGAAACGCGCGAGGGAAGGCGGTGAGAAATAGAGCGAGAAAAAAAGTATCCTTTGACAGAGACGAGATTGCCATCACCGGCCGTGATTGCAGTGGACTAGTGAGTGAAGAGAGGAGAGGGGGGAGAGAGAGAGAGAGAGAGACGTCGATCGGCCGAGGAAGCGCGCGGAACCGCGCGCGCGTGTTGCGCGGGCGGGCGAGCGAGGCGAGTAAACGAGACAGCGGAGACAGCCGATAATCGAGACGAACGGAACGGCGGAACCGGAGGACGGCGGACGGCGGGATTCGCGGAACGGGAGCGGCGAGTGTAGCGCGCGTCCCGCGGCGGGATTCGGGACACTTTTCGAACGGCGGCGGACCCGCAGCGGTAGCGGCGGCGGCGCGGCCGTAAACAACGACGACGACGAGGACGACGTCGTCGCGGCCGCCGGTCGCACGGTCGCCCTCGCGGCCAACTCGATCGCGGGCCGTCGTCGTCCGTCCCCGTCGGTGTCCCGCTCGTCCTACCTCTCGCTCAACTCCGCCACCGCCACCGCCGTCTACGCGACCCGAGAACCACCACCAGCTGACGGGCCCCGCGGGCCGTTAGACGTGGAAGGGAAAAACGGCGAGCCGCGCGTCTCCTTCCCGTGGTGTGTCATGGGGTGTTTCGGCAGCCAGAACAAGGACAGCCAGGATGAAAGCAAAAATCAGAAGAGACGGTCCGATGCCATCACCAGGCAGCTGCAGAAGGACAAGCAGGTCTACCGTGCCACCCACAGGCTACTCCTGCTCGGTGAATATTTCATCTCTTTATATAATATAATCAAATATATTTCGTCCGCTCACATCCTCTCTCTTCTCGAGATATACTTGTAATTTATAATTCAGCCACGTCTTATTCATCATGCGATTGAATCGACGCGCCGTGACGCAAGGAAAATTTATTCAATATATATATATATATATAAGC